GAGGCAACTCCCAGACAGGGCAGATCCCAGCTGCAGGAGACAGACGGGATGTGCTTCACCTGTTCCCACTTTGTTTGGATCAGCTGCAGCCCAGAGTCCCACAGAGCCCTTCCAGAGCTCATTGCCTGGCACCGTGAGTGAGGGGCGTCCATGGAACAAGGAACTCCCTCCTCCCTCTGCAGCTCCCTCTGCTCACCCTGTCCTTGCACAGCCAGCTAACAATTCACACTCCAAAATCCATCAGAGAAAGTGTAAATTTTCCCAAACCTGGCACTGTGGCTGGAGCAATGCCAGCGTGAGATGCCCACTGGTCACTGCCCCGTGTCCAAACCGGAGCACCTGCCCCAACAGGGCAGTCTGGGGATACCTCCCTGCTCCTAATTCCAAAGGAGGATGCACAGCAACGTGTGTTTGGGGCCCCCTCGGCTCCAGGTGCACCCTGCACACCTGCCTTCCTCCCAGGTGGAAGTGCAGAAGGATCAACACAGAACATGGAGAAATACTGCACTGCAGACAGCCAGAAGGCTGGAATCACTCCCTTGCTTATCTCCTGCCCAGGGCTTACACCGCTCCCATCCTCCTTCCGCAGCCCATGCCGCTGCTTTACACGGGATTAGCCCCATTTTATGGCCAAAGCAGGAGGAACAATGCCTCATCCATTGAGGCCGCGTCCCAACGGGCCCCACAGCGAGCAAGGACAGCACCAGCCTCTTGTCACTGTGTTAGGAGACACCAGGCACAGCGACAGGTGGGAATGTCCCCAGACAGGCCCCTCACAGGGGAGTTCAAGGTCTCCCCTTGGACCCACCCAATCACCACCCTCTCCATTCCCAGATGGGGCTCCTGGCCTGGGAACCAGCAGGAATAAACGCCTGCTAAAGCAGCACCCGGGCCCGGTGGCAACTGGATTAAGCTCAGAAAGAGGCTCCAAAATAAGTCTGGCTTTGATCGGAACAAGGCTCTGGTTGTACTTTACACACCCCAAAAATCCCGAGCAGCCCCTAATGCAGGGGATCCCTGAAACCCAAATCCAGCTCTGTGCCGGGGCGGGAGCCGGCAGATCCGGGGGAACCACTTCACAGAGCCACGGGGAGCACAGGGGCAGCCGATCCCCTCCCCAATCGGCGCGGTGAGGGGGCACAGCTCAGGTGCTCGGGAATCCGGGAATTCTCTCTGAGGGGAGGCCAGGCTGGAGCCGTTCCAGTGGCCCCGCACTGGGACCAGGGACGGTGCCGTGAGGAGACGCCGTGCTGTAAACACGGGTCCCCCTTGGGCCGCGGCACAGAGGCCGCGCTCCGGTGCCCCACAACAGCGCGGTGGCGGCGTTCCCGGGGGCACCGGGGACAGGCCGGGTGCGGGACAGTCCCCCGGGCGCTCCCTGCGGCCGCTCCCGCGCCCCGGGCGGTTTCCAGGCAGGGAACGAGCCCCGCTCCGGAGCGCTCACTCCGCACCGTGCGCAGGGGCGGCCCCAGCCCGCGGGGCACCGCTCCCCGCCGGCCCCGCATCGCCGCTCCCGCAGCCCCCGGCCCGGCTCCCCGCGGCACAGGAGAAGGTCCCGGCGGGGCCGCGGGTAGGGCAGCCGGGGCAGGAGGAAGCGGCGCTCCCGGGCAGAGGCACCGCGACCATCGGGCAGGCGGCCGTGCGGAACGGCGGAGCGGGGCCGCGGCCAGAGAGGCGGGCCGGGCAGGGGTCGGTGCCCGCTGGGGCGCCGGGCAGGAGGGTTCGCGGCGCGGTGAGGGGGCACCGGGGCACAGCCCGAGCCGCGCGCGGGGGGAGCCGCGGGGGCAGCGGCTGGGCGGGGGCGGTCGCGGCCGGGTCCCGGCGAAGGGCGCGAGGGAGCGGCGGGCCGGGAGGCGGCGGTGGTGCCGGAGCGGCGGGGACCCGGCGGGGTCGCGCGGCCCACGTGACTCACCGGCAGGAGGCCGCGCGCGGCGGCGGCTCCGGGCACGGACGGCGGCGGCTGCGGCGGGCGGGACGTCACGCGCGCGCTTGCGCACCGCGCCCCCCCGCGCGCCTCCATTGGCCGCCTCCCGCCGGCCCGCCCCGGCAGCCGCGGTGCGCATGCGCGGGGCCGCCGAGAGGGCGTGCGCGCTCACGCCGCGGTGGGCGGGGCCACGGCCGGAGGCTCAGCGCGTGCGCGGACTGTACCACACCGGGGGCCGGAGGGGGTGAACGGGACCGGGCGCTGCGCACTCCGGGCGCGGGGGGAGCCCGGGGCCGGCAATCTCCGCTCCCCTCGGGGACCCACCACCCTCAGCAAACGCTCACCACCGGCAAAGGCTTCCAGATTTAATAGCAAATCGTACAAAAATTATAAAACCCAAGGGCGGGTGCTGCACCAGGCTCACACCGCGCTGGGGGGGATAAGGAGGGGGCACAGGGAGGAGGAGGAACAGGAGGAGGAAGGCACATCCCGACCTTCCCCTACTTGAGGTCCATGAAGCGAATGTCCATGATGAGCAGGAAGTTCTTGGGGAGGGGGCGCGGGGCTGGGGACAGCACGGTGAAGACCTGGCGCTCCAGGTCCACACCGGTGACCACGATGAAGCCGGCCACACTGGTCTCGGAGATGTTGTCATCGGGGCTGTCGGCGGTGCTGACGCTCAGCAGGTGGTGCACCATGTCCCGCCCCGGCGTCACCGGCACCAGCTTCAGCTGGTTGTCCTCCTGCGACATTCCCAGCGGCAGGCACGAGTCCGGGATGGTGGGAGCGCCCACCTTGTAGATCTTGACGTCGGAGAACTTGACGTCGAAGGCGTGGGGGTAGAAGCAGCCACGGAAGCCGTAGAAGTACTCGCGGATGCGCTCGTCCCGGCACTCTCGGCGGAAGTCCTTGGAGCGCTCCACCACGCCGCCGGACTTGGGCAGCAGCACAGTGCGCACAAAGTGGGGCAGGTCCCGCTTGAGCTCATTGTAGAGGCGCTCCTGGTCCAGCACCACCACCACGTCCACCTCGAAGGCGGAGGCGGCGTGCACCAGTGCCTGGTAGCCCGAGCTCTTGACCCAGCCGCAGGTGTTGATGACGCAGCCGCTCACCGACGCCCGCCGGTTCACCTCGCAGCGCTGGTTGAAGACGTCGGCCAGGCATGACGTGATCTGCGGGAGGAGGGGTCACACCCAGGCACCCATGTCCCCACGCTGTCCCCAGCTCCTTCAGAACCCTCAAAGCCTCCATTCTGGGCAGCCACCCAAAATTGTGGAATGGTCTGGCTTGGAATAAATGTTAAAGGCCATCCAGTTCCCTATGGCAGGGACACCTTCCACCAGCCCAGGTTCCTCCAAGCCCCATCCAGCCTGGCCTGGGGCAGTTCCAGGGATGGGGCATCCACAGCCTCTCTGGGCAACCCTGAAGGGCTTCACTGTCTTCACACTAAAAGAATTTCTCCCCAATATCCAGCCTAAACTTCTCCTTTCACCGTGAACCCATTCCACCCCACCCTATCGCTCCAGATCCTGACAAGAATCCCTCTCCAGATTCCCCGTAGGCCCTCAGGATGGAAAAGGCTGCTCTGAGGACAGGGCACAAACTTTCCTCCTCCAGGCTGAACTGCCCCACCTCTCCCAGCCCGTCTCCATAGGGGAGGTGCTCCAGCTCCCTTCATCAACTTCATGTCCCCCTATCTCATCCCATAGCTGGGAAGGGGTGACTGGCCGTGCACGAAGCTGTTTTTAAACCACGTTCTGCTGTCCCCAAACAGTACCCGGGGATTCAGTCACCCCGCAGGGAAAGCCCAGGGAACTCCAGGGCCAGACCCAAGTGGGGCCGAGCCCGCCGTGCTCACCTTGTTGTAGAGCTTGATGTTGGTGCCGGGCGTGGTGGAGCCGAAGTGGTAGACGAGGGGGGCCTGCAGGGAGAAACCCTCCTCCACATCGGCCGGGCGCTCGATGTACAGCGCGCCCATGGTGCCGGGGATGGACACCGAGCCCTGCCCCACGTCTAGCTCCACGAAGGTGGGCCGGCGGCCCAGGCGCACGGCGTAGTTGAGCAGCAGGCGGCACACGGTGGTCTTGCCCACGTCGGTGGGTCCCACCACCATGACGCGGGGCCCGCGCTCGTCCTCCCGCTCGGCCTGGCGCCGCATCTGCTCCAGCGCCGTGTGCGTGTTCAGGTACAGCAGCATCGGCGTGTCCCGCGACACGTAGGCCACCTCGGTGCGGCCGCTGAGCTGCACGGTGCAGCCGTGCCACGTGAACACGGCCACCTTGGCGCCCGCGTCGAACGTGAACTTCTTGTTGCGGGTGAGCTCGGTGCCGAACACCTCGGCCATGCCGGTCAGCAGCTCCAGCTGCACCGTCTGCCCCGCCTCCACCTCGAACCGCAGCTCCGTCTCCCGCTCCAGCTCGAACTTGGCCACCTGCTTCTTCTCCTCGCCGCCGTCGTCCGCCATGACGGCGACGCGGGAGTCCCGGGCCCGGTGTCCCCCGGCCGCCGCGGCCGCGACGGAAGTGACGTCAGAGATGCGCGTCGGGAGCGCGGGTGGCCCTGGTCACGTGGGAGGCCTGCGTCACGTGGGGAGGGGAGTGTCCTGTCAGGTTCTTGCTGCTCGTTTGCATCTCATTTGCATAACACCAGCGGCTCCTCCTAGGGTTTGCATCTCATCACAGTGGGGCTCCCCCTCTTCCCCCTCCCCCGATCCCTCGGGATGAGTCCCGGGATCGTTTACATGACGTTCGCACGACATTTACACGCAGTCCCGCCCGCCCCGCCTGATTTACATCTGACAGGGGGGACACGAGGGACATGAGGGGACAGGGGCACACGGAGGGACACTGGGGATAAGGCGGGACATGGAGACACGGGGGGACAGGGACACACGGAGGGACACTGGGAACAAGGCGGAACACGGGGACACGGAGGGACACAAGGGACACGGGGTCTGGAGGGACGGGGTATCCATGGGAATGTGGGGGGCCATGAGGGAGCGGGAGGTGCCCCGGGGGTCGCAGAGCATCCCCGGCGGCCGGGCTGACGTCGGAGGGCCGTGCGGTGACGTCACGGCGGCGGTGGCGGGCGGTGATGTCACGGCCGCGGGATGAGTCACGGTGCCGTGATGCGGCTCCCGGGCACGCAGGGCCCCCCCGCGCCCGCCCCGGGGACAGCGGCGACAGCGGCAGCGGCGGCGGGGACAGCGGCGGGCGGTGAGCGGCCCCGGCCCCCGGGAAGCCACGGAACCCGGTACCCCCCCATCGTGTCCCCCCGAGACCCCCACAGCCCCACCGAGCCCCCGTCGTGTCCCGCAGCGTTCCTGACATTGCCCCCCCACACACGGCGACATCCCTGTCCTCCTTCACTGCCACCGCAAACATCCCCCCCGGCACCCTCCCGCCTCCCGAGGACCCTCGGCACCCCTCCTGGGACCCCCCAACCGGCCCTTTGGGACCCCCCTCATCGCATCACCCCCGCGAGGACCCCCACCATCTCCCGTCGGGACTTCTTCCATCCTTCCCTCGGTTCTCCATTCCCCCCGCCCGGTACCCGCAGTTCTCCCCCTCAGGACCCCCATCACCTCCCCGGGGACTCCCCCACGCTTCGAGAAGAGACCCCAGACCCATCCTGGGACTCCCCCCCGCCCCCAGTTCCGGTGCCCCCCCGGCTGTCCCGGTGTCCCCGCTGTCCCGGTGTCACTCCGCCCGCTCTCAGCCGGCTCCGTTCGCGGAGCGCCCACGCCTGGGAGGCTGAGGAGGGGTCCCCCCTCACCGCCCCCCTTCCCCCTCCGCAGGCCGCCCCCCTTTTCCGCCTCCTTCTGCCGGGGGGCCCCGGCGGAGCCCCCCGAGCCCGGCCGGGCGGGACGGCGGCTCTGGGCGCGCTGCTGCGCTGCTTCCCGTGCGAGCGGCTGTGCGGCGGCTGCGCGGTGCCCCCCGGGGCGCTGCCCCCGGCGATGCCGCCCCCGGGCCCGACCCGCCGCCGCCTGCCGCCCGCCGCCCGCCTGCCGCCGCGCACCTTCCGCAGTTACCTGCCGCGCTCGCACCGCACCTACAGCTGCGTGCACTGCCGGGCGCACCTGGCCCGCCACGAGGAGCTCATCTCCAAGGTGCCACCGCCACCCCCGGGCCGGGTGGGCGCCGTCCCTCGTCTGCTGCGACAGCGGGAGTCCCCCTCGCCGCGTCCCCGGGGTGTCCTAGGACAGCGGGTGTCCCCTCGCCGTGTCCCCAGAGTGCTGAGTTTGAAGCATCCTCCCCCCCGCCCTGCCACGGCGCGGTGTGCTGGCGGTGGCAGGTGACCCGTATGGCTCCCACGGAGGTGGCCGTGTCCCCCTCGGTGTCTCCGGGCTGGCAGATGTCCCCCGCGGTGTCCCCAGGCCGGTGGCAGTGCACCGGGATGGGATCAGGACATGGAGGGAGGGGTGCCGGGGGATGTGGGGGCCCCACCGGTGACACCGGCCGTGTCCCCACAGTCCTTCCAGGGCAGCCACGGCCGTGCCTACCTGTTCAACTCCGTGTGAGTACCGGGGGCAGCGGGGATGGCAGTGGGAGGGGGAGCCCGGGGATGCCCGGGCCGGGCGTGCCGAGCCGGTGGGAGCCCCGCTCTCCGTGCAGGGTGAACGTGGGCTGCGGGCCGGCCGAGCAGCGCCTGCTGCTGACGGGGCTGCACTCGGTGGCCGACATCTTCTGCCAGAGCTGCAACACCACCCTGGGCTGGAAATACGTGAGTGCTCCCCAGCTGGGACCCCCACCTGCTGCGGGCACCGCCCGGGGGCCACAACCCCTGCCCTGGGCACCCCAACCCTATCCATGGGCATCCCTGGGCACCCCAAACCCTGCCCTGGCATCCCAACCCTTTCCATGGGCATCCCTGGGCACCCCAAATCCTGCTCTGGGCACCCCAATCCCTGTTCTGGCCTCCCAACCCTTTCCATGGGTATCCCCGGGCACCCCAATCCCTGCTCTGGGCACTCCAATCCCTACCCCGGGCACCTCCGGGCACCCCAACCCTTTGCTGAGGACACCCCCAAGGCAGTGCCTGTGGGGACACGGGGGGGTGACACTGTGTCGTTGTCCCCTCCCCCAGGAGCAGGCATTCGAGAGCAGCCAGAAGTACAAGGAGGGGAAGTTCATCATCGAGATGTCGCATATGGTGAAGGAGAACGGCTGGGACTGAGGCGGGGCCGCGGCTGGGACTGGGGGGCACCGGGGGGGGGCGCTGGGTCACCCCCTCCTTGGCACCTTCGCTGTGCCCCCTGGCGGCCCCCGGGTGGCACCAGCCGCGGGGGTCGTGGGGCTTTTCTAGGGCAATAAAGGCGCTTTTTTTTTTAGGAAGGTTCTCGTTGTCACCTGCCCCACCCTCCCTCACTGCCACCACCCGGCACACAGCCTGGCACACAGCCTGGCACACGCCTGGCACAGAGCGGGGTCCCTGGTGGCCCCAGCCTGTCCCTTCCCCTCCTCACACGCAGGAGGCGGTTAGTGCATTTATTGGGACCCCGAGCTCACGGGGAAACTGAGGCACGGGAGGTCCAGGACCCCCCTCCCGCTGCCCTGGGAAGTGTGAAGGGAGGGGAGGGGAGGGGAGAGGAGCCCCCCTCCCGGTGCCCTGGGAAGTGTGAAGGGAGGGGAGGGGAGAGGAGAGGAGGGGAGGGGAGGAGAGGGGAGGGGAGGAGAGGAGAGGAGAGGAGAGGAGAGGAGAGGAGAGGAGAGGAGAGGAGAGGAGAGGAGAGGAGAGGAGAGGAGAGGAGAGGAGAGGAGAGGAGAGGAGAGGAGAGGAGAGGAGAGGAGAGGAGAGGAGAGGAGAGGAGAGGAGAGGAGAGGAGAGGAGAGGAGAGGAGAGGAGAGGAGAGGAGAGGAGAGGAAGGGACAAGGGGTGCAGAGAGAAGAAGGACGGAGGGAGGAAGGGATGAAGGGAGGGAGGGAGGAGGGACAAGTGAAGGAAGGATGGGAAGAGAGAGAGAGGAAAGGGATAAAGGAGAGAGGGAAGGAGGGAAGCAGGGAGAGGAGGAGGCAGGGATGGAGGGAGGAGGGAGAGGAGGAGGCAGGAGCGAAGGATGGAGGGATGGGAGGAGGGAGGACAGGGACAGGAGGAGCAGAGTCAGGGCTGGGGGTCGCTGAGACGGCCCATGAAGACGGGGAAGTTGCCGGTGTCGTGCCAGAGGACGAAGAGGAAGGGGCGCAGGGCCTCCAGCACCAGGGCCGAGCGCGCCACCGAGGTGGCCATGGCCGCCGCCGCCTCCACGCCGGCCTCATCCAGCGCCAGCACCGCCCGGTGCCGCGCAGTGTCCACCACGGCCGGGCCCCGCGCCAGCCCGCACAGCTCCGCGTCCAGGAACAGCCCGAAATCTGCGGCACCGGCCTCAGCGCCACTCCCGCGGAACACGGGGGCAGCGGGGGACGAGGGGACACCGAGGGGACCCGGGGGCACGGGGGGTCAGGAGAAAACCGGAGGGACGGGGACATGGAGACGCAGGGACACGAAGGACAGTGGGGACAGAGGAGACACGGCGGGGACACAGCGGGGACACTGGGGGGCGCCAGGGGACACTCAGGGATTGGGGAACACCGGGGAGATGGGGAATGTTCGGGCCGCTGGGGATAATTTGGGGATACTGGGAAGTAAGGGGACATTTAGGGGCGCTGGGGGGAGCGGGGCACATCCGGGGCACTGGGGACATGGGGGACGCCAGGGACACGGGAGTGGGGGGGGTCTCAGGGGATACCGGGGACATTGTGGCCTTTGGGGACCCTGGGGAAAGTGGCCCCCGGGGGAGGGGAGGGGCCCGTGAGGTCCCGCAGGGAGGAAGGTCACCGCACCGGGAGCGATGTGACCCCGCGGCCCAGCCAGCCCCTGTGGTGCCACCAGAGGTGTCCTTACCCATGTCGTGGACCAGAGGCACCACGTCCAGGGCGAGGTCGAGGCGCAGGCGGGGCAGGGACAGGGCGGTGGCCCGGGGCGGGGTGCGGGCCGCCCGCCGCAGCAGCGCCAGGAAGGTGGCGGGGTCCAGCGCCCGCTCCAGGCTCTCCAGAGGCTCCAGGGGCTCCCGCGGGATCAACACCACGAGGCTCAGCCCCCCGTGCAGCTCCAGCCGCCCCACCTGTGGGGCAGACCCTCACTGAGGGCCACTGCGAGACCCCAGGGACCGGCACCCCCACGGTGCCACCAGAGAGGTGCCAGTCTGGCGTCCCTCAAAGTCCCAGGGGAGCGAGGTCACAGCCTGTGCCCCTTTCAGTGCCAGGGCAGTGACATCAGCCTGGCATCCTCCCCGAGTGCCGCAGGAGTTATATCACAGCCTGGCGCTCCTCCTTAGTGCCACTGGAGTGACATCATGCCATTATTCCCCCAGCAGTGACCCCCCAGACCCCCAGCACCCACTGGGGCTACCTGGACCCGCAGGCGGGAGTCGGTGAAGGAGGCCACCGGGTACTTGGCGCTGGTCATGGTGGGCACCTTGCGGGGGCGCTGCCCGGGCCGCAGGAAGGGCAACAGCACCGTCTTCTTGCGGTCCAGAGGCGTGCGCCAGGCGGCTGTGGGGACACGGCACCGTGGCTGGGGCACCGGGGAGCACCAGGGGGGGCGCACGGAGCGGCCTCAGCCCCGCGCCCCGTGGATGCCGGGGGATGCCCGGGGGATGCCAGGGAGGATGTCCCGGGGGATACCCGGGGGATGCCCGCGGGATGGCGGGTGGCGGGACCGTACCGCGCAGGTGGACGGCGCTGAGCAGCAGCAGGCTGGGCTCGGGGGGCAGCGCGGAAAGCAGCGAGGGCAGCAGCCCCTTGCTGGCCTCCCGCACCCAGGCGTTGATGCGCTGCAGGTCCAGGCTCTCGTTGCCGCTCAGGGCGTACGGGCGGGCGCCGTAGAAGCGCAGGGAGTCGTTGAGGAAGCGGGGCCGGATCTGCAGCTCTGTGCGGCGGCACGGTCCAGGGTCAGCCCGGGTGCCCGGCGGGCAGCGGCGCCCCACCGGCAGCCAGTGCCCGCCTCACCTGGGTGGTGGAAGATCTGGGCGGCCGAGAAGAGGCCTGGCGTGCTGGCCAGCTGCTGCAGGGCGCCGTGCACGCAGTGCAGCTCCTGCGGGTACGCCAGGAGGGCGGCCAGACGCTCCTGGGTTTCTCCGCGGGCGCCTGCGGGCAGAGGGGAAGCTCGGCTCGGTGCCCCGGCTGGGACAGCGGTGACACGGCGGCGCCGGTGCCCGAGGGCAGCCCCTCACCCAGCAGCAGGTGCGAGAGCCCCGTGGCGACGTTGATGGGGGAAAAGAGTAGGTTGGCGTCGGGCTCGGCCTGCTCTGCCATGCGCTGGTAGAAGTGGAGGGCAAAGGTGCCCAGAGCCTCGGCCACGGCAGCCCGCTGCTCCCTCGTGGGCTTCCCGCAGGTGTCGGTCGGCTCCTCATCCCCAGGGCACGGCGGGGCGCTGGTGCCGGGCGTGGGCACTGCCGTGGTGCCATGGGCTGCAGTGTCCAGCTCCTCCAGTGCCCACTCCGGCGCTGCGGGGCTGGGGCTGGGGACATCTGTGACACCCCAGCCATTGGCTGCGGTGTGCAGCCCCTCCAGTGCCCACTCCGGCGCTGCGGGGCTGGGGCTGGGGACATCTGTGACACTCCAGCCATTGGCTGCGGTGTGCAGCTCCTCCAGTGCCCCCTCCGGCGCTGTCACATCTGTGACACCCCAGCCCGGCAGCCCCTCGGGGTGAGCGCTGGGGGTGGGCAGCACATCCTGCGAGGGAGCCGGGGTACGAGCGGGGGGCACAGGAGGCACAGGAGGTGTCGGGGTCTCTCTGAGCAGTGGCATCCAGCTGGGAGAGGCCTCCAGAGCGAGCACCTGGGCACAGGGATTTGTGTGAGGGGGGCATGGGGCACCCGGGTGGGGGACTCAGATGAGGAGGGGTGTCGGGCACAGGGAGCCCGTGTCCCTGAGCCACACTTACCGGGGTGACAGTGACCGCGGCTGTGGCCACTAGCCATGCCAGGGGCAGCCAGGGCGTCTTGATGGCCATGCTGGTGGGAGGGCACAGGTCAAGGACAGACACCCAGCATCCCCCAGCCCGGCACCCCACACCCCACTCCCTGCACCCCCCGTACCCCCACCCCGCGCAGCTCCACCCGGGGTGCCCCCGCTCTGTCCCCTCCTTTGGACGGGCTGTGGGGGGCGGGAGGCGGCAGCGCCCCGGGCCCACCTGGGTGCCCGGCGGGTCGGTCCCTGCGTGTCCAGCGGCGCCGGGAGATCTGGCCGGCTCCGACCCTGCCTGGTTAAAAATTAAGGAGGTTCCCGTAAATCAGCCGGGACACGGCCGGTAATGCGGGGGCGGGCACGGGGGTGCGGAGGCAGCCAGGATGCGGCCCCGCGTCCCGTTTTGCTCCCGTCAGCCGCTCGTCTGCGCAGGTTGCTGGCTCTCTGTCACCCCTGGGAGCCCCCGCGGTGACGGGGGTCGCCCTCCGCCCCCGGCCCATCCGTCCCCACCCACCCGTGCCGGGGGCGCGGCCGTAGAACCTCGTCCCGCCCGCCCGGAGGCGTGACCCCACGGAGCCCATCCCCGTGGCACCGGGCACCGATGACCATGGCCGGGCGGATCGCCAAGGTGGGCACCGGGGGCACCGGGACGGGACCAGGACTCCGGTGCCGCTGCGGTACCGGCGCGGGGGTCCTGGTGTCCGTACCGGAGCAGGGACCGGGGGCAGCCGAGCTCGCGGTGCGCGGGTCCCGGTACCGGGGTGCGAGAGGGGGTTCTGGGGAGTGTTAGTGCCAGTACGGGGATACCGGTGCCGGGGTGCGGGAGAGGCGGTGCTGGGGGTGTCAGCGCCCGGTGAGGGGGTCCCGGTACCGGGCAGAGGCAGTGCGGGGGTTGTCAGTGCCGGGGCGGGCGTCCCGGTACCGGGGAGAGGCGGTGCTGGGGGTGTCAGTGCCGGTAAAGGGGTCCCGGTGCCGGGGTGCGAGAGAAGCCGTGCTGAGGGGTGTCAGCGCCCGATGAGGGGGTCCCGGTACCGGGGAGAAGCAGTGCTGCGGGTGTCCGTGCCGGGGGTCCCGGTGGCGGGGTGCGAGGGAAGCAGTACCGGGGTGCAGGGTCTCCGGTGCGGGGGTGACAAATACCCCGGCACGTTTCAGTTTCGTTTCCCCGGCGGGGCGGCCCCGCCCAGGGGTGTGTCCAGAATCCCGGCCCCGTCCATAAAAGTGTGCCCGGTAAATAAACCCTGCCTATTAAGGCGGGGTCTGCAGGCGGCCCCGCCCAGAGAGGGGGTCCCGGGAGGAGGATTACCCTATGGAGGGGTCTGTGGGGACACACCTCCGCCCACACCTGCCCCACCCCTTCCCGCAGGAGCTGGAGGAGGCGCGGCGCTGGGAGGGGGTCCGCGACGTGCGGCCGCTGGACGGGAACGTGCGGCGCTGGGGGGGCCTCCTGCTGCCCGTGCGTGGGGAGAGGGCACGGGGGGACGGGGGGCACGGGGGGCTGCGGGGGGTCCTGGGGAGCAGGGGCCGTGGGGAACATGCGGGCTTGAGGAATGATGTGCCCTGGGGACATGGGAGGGAGCGGGGGTGACCCTTGGGACGGGGCTGTCTCACTGAGTGAGGGTCCCCCGCAGGACAGAACTGGGGAGGGCCCCTCTGAGGACGTTGCAGGTCCTGGGCTGGGGACACTGGGTGGAGATTCCCCTCCTGAGGGGCTCGGGCTGGCACAGGGGAGTCTCTACGGGGGGCACTGGGTATCAGGGCTGGACAGGTCCTCCCCCCCACGATGGACGCTGCGGCAGAGGGGGCTGAGGTGCCCCCATACCCCGGCAGAACAACCCCCCATACAACACGGGCGCCTTCCGCTTCGAGCTGACCTTCTCCCCCAACCACCCGCTGGAGCCGCCCTGCGCCACCCTCCGCACGCCCATCTACCACCCCAGCGTGGACCTCGAGGGCCGCGTCTGCCAGCCCCTCACCACTCACGGGCACTGGGAGCCCGCCACCCGCGCCATCCAAGGTGGGCACGGCGGGGACAGGGACACGGCGCAGGGGGTGGGCGCCCCTCTGAGCCCCGTGCCCCTGCAGTGCTCCAGGACCTGCTGCTGCAGCTGGACAGCCCAGACCCGCGGCGGCTGCTGCGGCCGGACGTGGCCCGGGAGCTGCAGGAGCGCCCCGAGGAGTTCCGGCGCCGGGCAGAAGAGCACACCCGGCTCCACGCCGAGCCGCGCCCCGACCCCCGCACATGAGGCAATAAATTCTCTCCATCACCTGCTCCGGCTCCGTGGTGCCTCACTGGGAGGGTGGGGGGCTCCGGGAGTCGCTGCCCCCCACGTGCCAGCCCTGGGGAATGTCACCCTCCTGGTGGCAGAGCCAGGGCTGTGTCCCAGCCTGGTGACAGTGCCCAGACACTCGCTTGGTGCCAGCATTCCTCCCTCCAGTGACGAGGCCACCACCGCCTGGAACCACGGCCTTTACTGCTGGGGGACAGAGCAGGGGACGAGGAGGGGGATGGCACAGCTGGGGTGCTGTGGGGGTCCCTCCCTCTCTCAGCGCTTCTTGGTCTTGACGAGCCCCTTGGCCACCAGGCAGCGGTACAGCTCCTGCACGTACGTGTACACGCACTTGGCGTCGGGCACCGGCAGCCGCACCATGTCCTCCACCTCCAGCAGCGGGGCACAGCCCGCCCGCTCCCTGCGGGAAGGGACACAGCGGTCACCGGCACCGGCCGGGGGTGGCCGGCGGGACCGAGGGGCCGGCGCTGCGCTCACGCACTCGGCGGTGGCGAAGGCCAGGGCGAAGTTGTCCCGGCGGGCGTTGGGCTCCAGGGCGGCGAAGTCGAAGGCGTCGGGGAAGAAGCTGTGCAGGAGGGCGCAGAAGGCCAGGCCACTGCCCCAGCTCCCCGAGAAGTTCTGCACGTCCACGTTCTGCGCAGACAGCGGGGTCAGGCCACCCCCGGGCCATCCCCGGACCCTCCCGCCGCCCCCGCCGGCACTCACCGGGTACCCGCGGGTGCGGGCGCGGCACCACTCCAGCAGCATCGTCTTGACCGTGGCGGCCCCCCCCGAGCGCCGCAGGTGTGGGGCTGGGCCCTTGGCAGCCCTGGGGGGACCTGGGATGTGGGATCCCCCACCCCACCATCCCTCATGGGGACCCCAGCCCCTCTGTGACCCCATTGCCCAGTGGCTCTGGGCCCCCAGTGCCCCATGGTCACACAGCCCCGCCTGTCCCACCCCCCCCACTGCTCTACGGACCCCCCATTCCTCCCTGTACCCCTCATTGCCCCATGCCCCCCAATACCCCCTGTGTCCCATACCCTCCCTACTTGCCCCATGTACCCCCTGTACCACCATTGCCCCACAGAGCCCCAGTTCCCAATGACCCCATTGCCCTGTGCCCACCAACACCCCCACTGATCCATGCCCCCGCCATGCCCCCCGATTTCCCCTGTACCTCCCATTGCCTCACGGCCTTCCAACACCCCCACTGCTCCATGGCCCATCCATCCCACTGTCCCTGGCTGTCCTACAGCCCCCCCAAAACCCGGGGTCCCCCATTCCCTCAATGCCCCTCCTGCCCCCCACGGGGCCAGGCCCCCTCACCCTCCAAACTTTTCCAGGATGGCGCTGCGCCCCTGTGCCCGGGTCCCCACTCGTGGCCGTCCCCCGGCCCCCTCCAGCCTCAGCCTCTGTCCCGCCGAGCCGGGGGCTGCCTTGTCCCGTGTCCCCCCCGCTGGAGCAGCCCTGCAGGCACACACGGGTGGGAAAGCCATGAGCAGGGCGCTGTGGGGTGCCATCCCTGCCGTGGAGTACTGGGCTGCCACCCGTGGGGACACACCTCGTGCTGCCCCCCGTGTCCTTGGCGGTGCCAGCTGCAAGGAGAGAGGAGGGGTCGGAGGGCTGGAAGAGGGCACCCACGCCCCCCTGGGCACCCCTGGGGCTCCAGGCCCTTTCACTTGGGGAGGATGGACACTGTGGGGCAGCAGTGACCCCAGGACACTCGAGTGCCATTGCCCAAATGGCTCTTACCTGTGGGGGACACTGGGGATGCTGGGGACATAGGGGATGTAGGGGACGTGGGAGATGTAGGGGACATGGGGGACGTTGGGGACATAGGGGACGTAGGGGACGTGGGGGACGTGGGGCTGGTGGCCCCCTCTGGGGACGAGCAGGGAGGGAACTCAGGCCACAGCTCGTCGTCCTCGTCCTGAAGCCAAGCGGGTTCCTGTAAGGAACAGGCAGGGTGGCACTGCCAGCACGGTCAGTGTCACTCACACAATGTCCCTGGCACTGTCATCCTGGCCCTGGCACTCTCACCCTGTCCCCATCCGTGCCGCAGCTGCCCTCCCCACCGCCTCCTGCCCTGGCTGTGCCGCCACCTCCCTCCCAACCCCTCCTCACCTGTCGGCGCTGGGAGTTGCCCGCTGCTTCCGGCGCCGCTTTTCCCTCGGTACCCTCCTCGGTACCCCCTCCGGTGCCCCCGGCTGTCCCTGCCCCGGCATCGCCAGCACCATCCCCGGCCTCCCAGGCATCGCCCCCGGCACCCTGGGGCGCTTCTGCCCCGCCATCCCCGGCAGCCTCTCCCCCCGCGCACCCCCCTGAGCCCCCCGTACCCTCCCCATCGCCCCCCGTGTCCCCCCCATCGCCCCCCGTGTCCCCCCCATCGCCCCCCGCTTCCCGAGCCTCCTCCCCACCCCCGGGAGTCGCCGCCTCCCCGCTGCCCTCCCCCGGCCCCGCGGCGGGGTCAGAGGGGGTGTCCGGGGTGGGGGTGTCCGGGGTGGGGGTGTCCGGGGTGGGGCTACCGCGGGTGGGGGTGCCGGGGGTCGGGGTACTCGAGGCGGGGGTGCCGGGGGTGGGGGTGCCGGGGGTGGGGGTGTCCGAGGTGGGGGTGCCGGGGGTCGCGGTGGCGTTGTCCGAGGCGGGGGTGCTCGCGGCGGGATTTGTCGAAATGGGGGTTTCCGAAGCTGGGGTGTCCGAGGTGGGGGTTTCAGCGTCTCCCAGAGCCTCCATGTTGCTGCGGTCACTGCTGCAGGGGCACAGGGCTGTCAATGGGGTGCCCCCGATGACGCCGTGAGCTTGCCCGTGCCCCCCAGAGCCCCCCAACCCGGCTAACCCCCCTCCTGTCCCTGTCCCTGTCCCCATGCCCTCCCCCAGCCCTGCCACTCCTACGTTGGGCACCCCAGTTGCCCCACTCCGGCCCCCCCATGCCCCATCCCGGCACCCCAACAGCACAGCCCGGCCCCTTCACGTCTTCCTGCAGCCCCCCAAGCCCCAAACCAACCCTCCCACTGCCCTCATGCCCCATCTCAGTCCCCCTGTACCCTCTCCTGCCCCCACGTCCCCTCCCGAGCACCCAGATCCCATCCCGGCCCCGCCATGTCCCCCTCCCGGCCCCACATGTCTTCTCCCTGTCCTCCCGTTCCCACTGCCGGCCCCCTATAACACCTTCCCGGTCTCCCCTGCTGCCCTCCGGTGCTCCTCCCCGGTACCCCCCAGCCCGCACCCTCCCGGCCGCTCCCGTAGCCCCGGTGCTCCCGGAGCCCCCCGAGCCCCTCGGCCCGTACCCTCCGGCTGTTCCCGCTCCGCCGCCCCTGCTGCGCCCCGGCCCCCCCGCCCGGCGCTATTTTTACCCGGCGGGGGCAGGTGCCGCCTTCACTCACCGCCCACCCGCGGGGCACGCGTGGGGCCGGGCCGGACACCCGGGCACGGCTGGGGAGGGGGAACGCGCCGACAGCCCCTCCCGGACAGCGGCGACACCCCAAAGCAGCCCGCGGGGAGGGGACCGAACCGTGCCGTGCGACCCGAGGGGCACAGGGGACACGGACACCCTGGGCAGGGACAGGGAGACTTGGGGGTCACAGGAACACGGGCGAGGTGGGGAACACAGACACGCGGGGGTGTTCGGGGGACACCACGGGGACACGGGCACACAACGGGGGACACGGGGAGCGCGGGGGGAGCAGACTCCCGGGGGCAAAGGGGGGCACAGACACGCGGGGACACAGGTCACACGGGGACAGCCCGGGCAGGACGGCGGGACACAGGAGGACCCGGGGACACGAGGAACAGGGGACACACAGGGAGGGACCCGAAGCCCCCCGGTCACGCCCGGGTGAGGTCCCGGCGGTGGCCACGCCCTCTCCGGCCTGGACACGCCCCCTTCCAGTGACCCCGCCCTCTGCAGGGCAAAGGCCGGGCCCAGCGCGCGCTCCGCCGCTCCCCTCCCGCCGCTCGGCCGCCGCCGCTGCCACGCCCCTTCCGCAGGGCCAATCAGCGACCGAGGCGCAGCCCTGATCCCGCCTCCTCCTGCACGCCATTGGCCGGCGCCAGCTGTGGGGCGGGGCCGCTGCGCGGGTGGGCGGAAGCGCGGCGCCCACGTGGTTCCTGCAGGGAGCCGCCGCCGGGTCCCGAACCGAGCGGGACCGTGCGGGTCCAACGGGGCGGATCCGAGCGGGGTCGGGCCCAGAGGAACCGTGATAGGGACCGGGACCGAGCGGGACCGGTGGTGGCCGCCATGGATCCGCTGCGGGCTCAGCAGCTGGCGGCCGAGCTGGAGGTTGAGATGATGGCCGACATGTACAACCGGTGAGGCCCGCCGGGAGAGAGCACTGGGGGCGCTGGGATACCGGGGGGCGTCCGTGGCTTGGGGGACACTAGCGGGTGTCAGAGGCAATGGGGGACCCTGGGGCTGTAGGGGAGTGCGGGATGTCCTCGGAGACACCCGGGAAATGGGGAGGGGAGCCGGAGATGCCTGAGGATGGGGGACGGTGGGGGATCCTAGGGGTGCCCGGGTGGCGATGACGGGGGATACTGGGCTTGTTGGGGTGCAGAGGCCGGCGTCCCGCTCGGTGATGATGCGGGTGCAGGAGGTGTTGGGGTGCAAGGGCTGGGGGTGCCGGGGATGGCGATAACGGGGGGTGCTGAGGTGCGGGGCTGGGTCCCGGGGTGGCGATGGCGGGGCACGGGTGATGTTGGGGTGCGGGGTCGGGGTCCCGGGGGTGGCGATGGCGGGGTACAGGGTGTGCTGGGCTGCGGGGCCGAGTCCCGGCCGGCGCGGGGCTCAGGCACGGTGCGGTTTGTGCAGGATGACCCAGGCGTGCCACCGCAAGTGCGTCCCGCCGTTCTACAAGGAGTCGGAGCTGTCCAAAGGGGAATGCGTGTGCCTGGACCGCTGCGTGGCCAAGTACCTGGAGGTGCACGAGCGGATGGGCAAGAAGCTGACGGAGCTGTCACTGCAGGACGAGGAGCTGCTCAAGCGGATGCAGCAGGGCAGCGGCAGCGCCTGAGCCCCTACCCATCACCCCAATAAACCTGGGCGTCTGCTGTGTTCCCCTCGCCCCCCAAACCCACCCTGTGGCCGTCTGTTGGGGTGCCCATGGTTGCTGCTGCGAGCCCCCCTTGTTGTCCCCAGCTGCCACGTGCTGTGTCCTTGTGGGGGGCACCCCTGGGTGCCCCCCCCGGCTGGGCCCAGCCCGTGTAATCCCCCGGATTAGGCAGAGCTGGGCTGAGCCCCTTGTAATCCCCAGTGGGGTGGGACAGGGCTCAGCCCCTCCCTGTCTGTCTGTGCTGGGGGTCACCAGAGGGGACAGCCGGGGGGCCCTGCACAGGGACACAGCTCCCGAGGGGCAGGGCACAGGGACACCCTCGCAGGAACACTCCCAGAACATTCAGCTCTGTTTGAGGATACACAGATGGGACCACGTGGGGACAACCCAGGGAACACCTCTGCCTGGGCAAGGACCACGTGGGGACAGCCAGAGACCACAGGGGAGGGGGCATGGGGACACCCACATGGGGACAGTCTGCACACACACAGACAGACACCCCACACACCCCTAGGGACACCTGGAGGGGACAAGGGCCCCGGGGGACACAGACACCTAGCGAGTTACACCCGCTGAGGGACACCGAGCGAGGGGCAGCCCTGGGCTGTGTGTAACACACACCCAGAGGGACCGAGCGCAGGGGGAGGGCGCTGTCCCCGTGCCCGCAGCCCGGCAGTGTGTGCTCCATCCGTGTGCTCCATCCGTGTGCTCCATCCGTGTGCCTGCGGGAAGTGGGTCAGGCAGTGCAGGGCGCGGGGGTGGCTCCGCGCCCCGCGGCTCCCGTGACACCCGCCAGCACTCTGCCCGGGGTGCGGGGTGTCGGCGTCACGGCAGCCTGCGTGTCACCGGCCCCGCGGTGGCGCCGGGCGTGCGGCCCGTGTCGGGGGGTGTGTGTCCCGCAGGGGGTGTCCGTCCGTCCGTCTGTCCGTCCCCCCCGCAGCGCCCTGCACGCCTCGCTGCCCTGCCACCCGCCGCTCCCATCAATATTTCAGGAGCGGCAGGCGGTGACCTGGATCGACAATGGCCCACCCACAGCAGCCAGGCCCCGCTCTCCCAAAATAAGACCATTTTTAATAAATAATTTCCCACCTTTTGGTTCCTGTTGGGGGTTTTTCCCGCTCAGGATGGGAGGGGACCCCCTTCTGCATCCTGCGGCCCCCCCCCCCCCGCCGGCTGTTCCCCACAGTTCTACAGGCCTCCCCTGGGGAGAAGGGGGGCACGGGCGCCCCGAGGTGCCGGGACCCCCGTGGGCGCCGAGGGGTCTCAGAGTCGGGGCAGGATCAGAGCCAGGAGGGGCAGGAGGGCGGGGGGCCGGCGGGGCGCGGCGGCGGCCATGGGGGCGCAGGGGTCGTGGGGGCAGCTGGCGTCCTCGGGGGGCCCGCGGGAGTCACGGGACGGGGGGGGCGGCCGGGGCTGGGGTCCCCGCAGGTCGTGGGGGGGCAGCCCGTCGCGGTAGAAGGCGGAGGGCGGCGCGGCCGGGAGGGTGCCGGGGCGACCCAGCGCCCGCCCCGGGGTGCCCATCACCGCCACCCCGTTGCCATCTTCCATCTCCTCGCCGCCGTCGTCGTCGTCGTCGTCCTCGGGGCAGGCGTCGAAGTCGCGGGGGCGCAGGTGGCGCAGGTCGGTGCCGCGGCGGTGCGGGGGGCTGGCGCACGGCACCGGGGAGCTGGAGACGCGCGTGCGGCGGAACCAGGCCCAGAGCGGGCGCGCACGGCAGTCGCAGGCCCAGGGGTTGGCGTTGAGGCGCAGGAACTGCAGCGAGGGCAGCGCGGCCAGCGGGTCCCCGGGCAGGGCCACCAGGCTGTTGTTGAACAGGTAGAGGATGGTGAGGCGCGCCAGCCCCCCGAAGGCGCGGCGGTGGATGGCTGCCAGCCGGTTGGCGTGCAGCAGCAGGCGGTCCAGGCTCGAGAGCCCCCGGAAGACGCCCTCCGACAGCGCCCGCAGCCGGTTGCCGTGCAGGAAGAGGTGGCTCAGGTTGGCCAGGTCGGCAAAGAGATCGTCCTGCAGGGAATGGGAGAGGGGTGGGCGTGGGGTGGGGGCCCAGTGTGCTGCTCTGTGGCCCTGCCTGGCAGGCATCAGCTGGAGAGACACTGGTGTGGGCCCCACAGAGCCCTGCCATGGGGCCTAGTCCTGCCAGCATCGCCCGTCACCCTCTCCTGTGTCCCTGCTCTGTGAGCATCGTGCAAGACCTTGTCCCGTGGCCCTGCCATGCTGGGGTCACCCATGGTCCTGCCCCACGGCCATCACCCTGCTCCCTCAGCATCTTCTGTCCCTGCCCCGCATTCTGGCCGTGTCAGCACCACCTTGTCCCACATCCTGTCTCCATGGCTTGTCACCATCACCCAGTCCCACCCCTGTGCCCGGGAGGCATCGCCCAGGCCCCCTGCTCACCCACCTGGAGGTAGAGCAGCCCGTTCTCCTGCAGGTAGAGGTACTGGAGGCTGCGGAGGCCACGGAAGATGCCGCTGGGCAGGTTGGCCAGCCGGCACCGGTACAGGTGCAGGGCCTGGAGGCGGTGGAGGCCGTGGAAGGTGTCGGGGGCCAGGACGCGGAGGTGCGGGTTGTCACCCAGGTCGAGCTCCTCCAGGGCGGGCAGGTGGCGGAAGGTGCCCGGCTGGATGGAGGAGATGTTGTTGGAGTAGAGCCAGAGGGTGACGGTGCTGGGCCCGAAGGTGCCCGCCCGCAGCGCCCCGATGACGTTGTTCTGCAGGAAGAGGCGGCGGGCGCCGGGCGGGAGCCCCGCGGGCACCGAGGAGAAGTTGTTGGCCTGGCAGCTGACGGTGGGCGGCGAGACGTAGCAGGTGCAGAGCGCGGGGCAGGCGGGAGCCCCGCCGGGCACCCACACCAGCGCCGCCAGCAGCAGCAGGGCCGCCGGGCGCCCGCCTGAGGGCACAGCGGGGCGTCAGCGCGGGGCACCCGCGTCCCCGACCCCCGCGCCGCCCGCCCCCCGCAGCCCCCCGGCCGCCGCAGCCCACAGAGCCTCCCGGGGCCGTGCCCGCCAGGAACATCCCTGGGAACGGCTCTGGGAGCCCCCTGGGGCCGTGCCCACCCCATCAAGCCGTGGCTCCTTAGGAGATTCCCAAGGTCCTGATCATTCCATAGGGTTGGGCACCCCAAGGAGGCCCCCTGGACTGTACCCACCCTTAGGGCCGCGTTTGCCCAGAACCCCAAGGTCACGACAACCCCATAGGGCTGGGCACTCCTAGAAGCCCTCCAAAGCCATGCCAGCTCCATACGGCCACAGTTCCCCAGGAGAACGCCAAGGTCATCACCACCCTGTAGGGCTGGACGCCCCAAGGGAGGGGACTGTGCCCACCCACAGGGCCATGGCCCCCAGGAGGCCCCTGAGGGCCATGTCTCCTCCCCAGGGACGCCCCAAGGCCATGTCCACCCACACAGCCATGGTCCCCTAGGAGATCCCTAGGACCACAGAGCCCTAGGAGAATCCCAAGGTCATGACACCCCATAGCACTGAGCGCCCCTTGCAGCCCCCAGACCCACATCAGCCCATAGGACTGTGGTCCCCAGAGACGCCCCCAGGGCTGTGCTGCTGCACAGCACCAAGGCCAGGCACCCCAAAAAGTGGCTGTCCACCTGTGACCTTCTGGGGCTGCTCCTGCTACTGGGGCCATGCTCCCCAGGGACCCCCAAAGCTCCCTGACCCCCCCTGCCGTGCCCACACTTGTACGGGACCGTGCCTGCCCCACGGTCCACCAGAACCCCTCACGGGGTCACAGACCCCTGGGACCCCCCTCACCCCACTCTGGGGGGGGGTCCGTGCCCCCTCCCCAAACGGGGCGGTGCCACGTGCGCGCGTGCCGCGGCCACGTGTGGGGCGGGGCACGCGTGGGCGCGGGCTGACGACACGCGCCGCCGCTCCGGGTGTTCAGCATCCCCCCCTTCTCCCCCCCCCCACCCGTGTCCATCCCCCCCCTCAGGCTGCAACCCGAGAGCTTCATCCATAATTCAGCCCGGCGGCCTGGATCCACGCCCGGGGATGCGTGGATGCGCCCAGTCGCCGCTGCCGGGGGAGGGGAGAGGAAGGAGGGGGGCGGTGGGACCCTCCGGTGCACCGGAGGTCACACCGGAGATGCACCGAGGGGTCCCACCGCCCCCTTCCCTCCCTTCCCCTCTGCCGGTGCTCCGCGAGTTGGGGGGGTGCCCACCCCCCAGCCACCCACGGAGGCGTCCGGCGCATCTGCTCAGCGCCGCCCCCCTCCCCCGGCGCCCCGTGCCGGCGTGCGCCCCCCACCCGCGTCCCATCTGTCACTCCCCCACGCCGCGGGCTGACTCAGTTGGGAGCTGAAGTCACCGGTTCTCAGCTTCCCCCCCCCGGGTGCCAAACCCCCCCACCCCGGTAGTTGCGGGTACCCCACAGACCCGCGGCACCCACCCGCGGCGTGACCCGGGCGCTCCCGGCTCCCCGCGGTGCCACTCGGGGAACCGTGGGGCGTCTCCACGCCGCGCTGGGGGTCCAGGGGTGGCACCGCGTACCCCCTGAGTCGCGGGGCACACCCCGCTGGGCAGCGTGGGGTACCCACACTCCGGGCTGGGGCTCTCGGGGTGGCACCGGGTACCCCGTGGATCGTGGAGCGCCAGAAGCCGGGCTGTGCACGCCGGTGCTGCACAGGGCGTGCCGGGGTTCGTGGGGCTGCCCCGGGGGGCCCGGGATGGCAGCGAGTACCCACGTGTCATGGGGCACTGCCACGCCGGGCTGGGGGTCCCGGGGTGGCACGGGCCACCCCGTGGGTCGTGAGACGGCCACACCTCGGGCTGGGCTGGCGGCAGGCGCCTCGTGGGTCGGGGGGCACCCTCGCGCCGGGGGTCGCGGGGGGACTCAACCTGGGGTGCCCCGGGACTGCGCCCCCGCGCCGGGCCGCGCGTTCCGGGGCGGCCGCGGGGTCCCCGCGCACCGGGAGCTCCCCACTCACCCCGGGGCGCCCGCACCCCGAGCGCCGCGGGGCGCCCCGAGCCGGGACCGAGGTTTCCGGGGGGCATCCCAGGGTCCGCCCGACACCCGCGGGACCCCGCCCGACCCCGCGCCTACCTGGGGGCAGGTCCCGAGCCGTGGGGGGCCGCATGGCGGGGCGGCCGCTCAGGCGCTGCCCACCCGCGGGGTCATGGCCGGTGCCGGGGGGGGCTGCTCGCCCCCTTCGCCCCCGCCGCGCCGCCGGGAGCAGCAGCCGCCGCCGCCCCGGGGCATGGCACGGGTGGGCTCGGGCTCGGGCACGGGTGGGCTCGGCGCGGCGCTGCCCGCGGCTCCGTGGGGCTGAGCCCTCCCCGCGCCGCGCCTTATCCCGGGGCGGCCGCTCCGCCCCCCGCGCCGGCCCCGCCGTTTAACCCTTCCCGGGCTGGCCCGCCCCAGGCGGGACAGGGGTGGGCGCAGGGACTCCCGGCGGGGACAGCGGGGACCGCGGGGACAGGGGGGGAACAGAGGGGGACGCGCTGCGGGCGCCCGCGGGGGCCACGCCCTGCGGGACTCAAGACGGAGACCCCCAACGGGGACACGGGGTGTGATGCGCTCCCCCCACGGGGAAAGGGCGCGGGGCTCGCGTGGGGAGCTGTGACCGCGGGACACGGAGGGTGGTCTCCGTCCGTCCGTCTGTCTGTCCGTCCGTCTGTCCGTCCGTCTGTCCCTCCCTCTGTCCCACGATCCCCCGACCGGCGGCGGGCTTTGGTGCCCCCATGGCCGGCGGGACCCCGCGGGGGCTGTGCCCGGGGTGGGTACGGCGGGGCCGGGAGCCCCGCACCCAGCGAGCCGCCGGGAGGGCGCAGTGGGCGGCGGTCCGCACCCACGCGGGACCGCGGCGCTGTTCGCGGTGCCGGACCGGCGCTGTCCGTGGTGCCGCCGCGGCGCCGCCCGGCCCGGGGCACAGAGGGTGGCGGCGGTGCGGGATGCGCGGGCCCCGCGCCGGTGCCGCGCGTGGGGGGACACGCGTGGCCGCGCGGGCTGCGGCGGCACCGGCACCGGCTGGCACCGGCGCGTGTTTGCGGCGCCGTCTCCGGCGAGCGAAATGCCACAAGCTGGTGCGGCGGCAGCCGTGGGAGGGGGCGTGGGCGGCGCGGGGCTGACTCAGGGGCCGCCATCCGCTCCCCCCGCCCGTGGCCCCGGCCCCGCGCCGAGCCCCCGGCCGGACAGTGCCGGTCTGGAACGGGGAGGGGGAGCCCGCCCGGGGGGGCTGCTCTGGGTGCTGGTGCCCACCAGCCTGGGGAGCTGGGACAGGCTGAGTAGGGAGGGGACGGACAGACGGATGGACGGTGGAGGATGGATAGAATAAGGGGACAGATGGGTGGACAGAGAGGTGGAGGATGAATTGATGGACAGGTGGACATAAGGAGAGGAGGACAGATGGACCGACATGGACGGAGAACATGTGGATATGGGGTGGACAAATGGAGAGATGGGTGAAGGATGGGGAGGACAGACAGATGGACAGGTGGAGGGAAGGGCAGGTAATGGGCAGCTGGATGGTTGTGGGACAGATGGATGGGATGGATAGAGTTGTGATTGGAGGGGGACAGATGGACAGGTGACAGACAGACCGATGATGGACAGATGGATGGGTGACAGACAGATGGATGGGTGATGGACAGATGGACGGGTGATGAACAGACAGAAGGGCAGCTGGCAGAGCAGATGAGAGGCTGCAGCAGTGGGGACAGGTGGGGACAGACCGGGTGGCTGCAAGCACTGGTGGATGGACAGAGGGACAGAATAGAGGATGTGGAGGGGAGGGTGACAGGAGGGACAGCAGTGTCCTGGGCGGGGCGAAGGCAGGGGGTGGCGGACCAGGGACAGGCAGGGGACACAGCACAACACAGCGGGGTGGCATGGGAATGGCTCTGGGATGGCACAGCAGGAGGGGCCCAGGGATAGCCCAAGGGTAGTCCTGGGGTGTCCGGGAATGGCCTAAGGGGTGACCCAAGCATCACTGAGAACTGGCCCGAGAGTGACCAGAAGGGCGATCCTTGGGTGGCGCCACCGGGAGCGCCCCTTGGGAGCGGCAGGTGAGCTGGCACACCTGGACGTGCCGAGGGCGCACCCGCGGGGGGCGTACGGGCGGCGCCGGGGAAAGGCTCCGTGCCGGGACGGCCCCTCCTGGGCGGACCCTCGGGTGACCGGGGCCCTCCACCGAGGCCGCCTCCCGCGCCCCCCCGAACCGCGGGGCCCGGGGGCGGGGCCCGGACAGGCCCAGCAGCTCCGCTCCGCCCGCGGTGAGGGGGGGGCGGGAGGGGCCGCGGCATTTGGGGGCACCGAGAGCATCGGGAGCACCGGGAGCGCCGGGGCGGGGAGAGCCCGGTCCCCTCCCCGCCGGGCCGGGCGGGTGAGCGGCGCGGGGATGCGGCGGGAGGAGCCGCGGGGCGCGGAGGGGCCCGGATGGACACGGAGCGGCGGCGGGAGGGGGTTGTGACCAGGACGGGAGGATGCGGAAGGACCGAGGGCCCTGGCCCCGTGGCCTGCGAGGCTGGGCTCGGCGTGGGCGCGGTGCGGGTGTCCGGGGTGTCCGGGGTGCCCGGGGCGGTGCCGGGGTACGCGTGGCGGAGCCGCGTCGGCCCCGGGGCCGTGGGGGAGGCTCGGGGGGCGGGCACGGCGGAGCCCCACGTTTGCCCACCCCCAGGACCACGCGTGTGTCCCCGCCACACGTGTGCGGGCCAAGTCCCCGCGGCCGGGGCTGCCCCTGCTCGGGGGGGTGCGGGCAGTGCCCGCCCCAGGACACCGCGTTCCGCGGGGGCAGCGGGGTGGGGAGGGGGCGCCCAGCCCTAGGGCAGCCCCCAGGGGTCCTGTGACACCCCCCTGCCCCTTCACGGCCCGGGGGGAGCTCGGGGTCACGGCAGGGACAGAGGGGACAGAGTCAGTGATGCTGCAAACCCCCGAGCCGAGCCGGAGCACCCTGCTCCCTTGTGGAGGGCTCACCAGTATGGGGGGGCTCTCACCAGTATGGGGGGGTCACTGCTGTGGGACACACCCGTGTGGCTGGCAGGGACAGCGTGTCCAGGACACCCCAGTCAGGCCTTGTGGCTGACACCCATAGTGAGTGGCTCGGGGTGCCCCAGGCAGTGACCCCCACATGTCAGGGAGCCCCGGTGCCCCCCAGCTGCTGTCACAGCCCCTGCCTGTGCTATTTTTAGCCACCTGAGTGGCTAAGCACAGTACAGGTCTCCCCGGGCCGGCCCCCCTCCCCCGGCTCTGTGCAGGTTAATCTTTAGCTGCTGGTCACTGTAATGAGGCTCATTACCCTCATTACCCTCATTACCGCGGGACAGCGACAGGCTCTGGGCAGTGACACGGTGACAGGGCTCTGTGCAGCAGAGCCAGGCTGTGTGTGGCTGAGGGAGGTGGGGGGACACGGAGGACAGTGAGCTGGGGGTGACGTGGCTCTGGTGCCCTTGGCACCCGGCTGTGGGTCACGGGGAGTCCCAGCTGCAATGGGGGGTGACCTGCTGCCAGCCCCAGCACGGTGACAGCTCCAGTGCAGGGCAGTGCTTGGGGCAGCAGCGTCCCCAGGAGACATGTCACGGTCCCCAGCAGTGTGAGGGGATTCCTGGGGACATGACAGGATCCCCCGGGGGTGGCAGGGTCCCAGAGGTGTGACAGTGTCCCTGAGGGCTGTGCCAGGGTCCCCAAGGGAGGGCCCCAGGGGCTGTGCTGGGTCCTTGGGGGGTGTGTCACTGTCCCCTGCAGCGTGCCTGGGTCCCTGTGCCAGCATCTCCAGGGATTGTCCCAGATTCCCAAGCACTGTGCCAGGCCCTGGGGGGGAGGGTGTTTTGGTGTCCCTGAGGGAGTGCCAATGTCCCCAGGGGCTGTGCCAGCGGCACCAGGAAGAGTGCCAGTTTCCCAAGGGCCGTGCCAGGTCCCCAGCAGGGTGCTGGTGTCCCTGGGGTGAGGTGCGTTGTTGTGGTGTCCCCAGTGCTCACACCAGGGTGCCCAGCAGTGTGCCAGTGTCCCTGTGGCTGTGCCAGGTCCTGGGCCAGGCTGGCTTGAGGCAATAGGGACAGCACAGGGGGCTCCTGACACAGTGAGGGGACCGAGCCCCCGTCGGGGGGCCCGAGATGCTATCAGGGGGCCCAAGGCACTATCGGGGACGGCAGCCTGGGGGACCCGAGTGTGCTCCCAGGAGATATGGGGGGAGTCACTGGGGCTGTGGAGATGTGTCCCAGCCACGCTGCCGGGGCTCAGACTGCAGGGCAACGGTGAAGGTGACAGTGACAACAGGAGGGCCTGGCCTCATGCAGGTGGGTAAGGGGTGCAGGACAGGAATCAGCAGTCACGGTGCAGGTGTGCACACCTGCAAAGCTGTGTGTGTGCCTGTGAACAGCTGCGTGCACCTGGAAGTGTCTGTGCACCTGCAAGGCTGTGTGTGTGCCTGCGAACAGCTGTGTGCGTGTCCATAAATCTGTGTGTGCCCCTGCAAAGCTGTGTGTGTGCCCATAAATCTGTGTGTGCCTGTGAACAGCTGTGTGTGTGCTTACAAATGTGTGTGTGTGCCCACAAATCTGTGTGTGCCTGTGAACAGCTGTGTGTGTGCCCATAAATCTGTGTGTGCCCCTGCAAACCTGTGTGTGTCTGTCAATGGTTGTGTACCACATGTCACCAGCTGTCCCCAAATGTGCGAGCCTTGGCTGCTGCAGGGCCCTGCCCTGTGCCCTGGCATGTGGGAGGACACAGGTGCCAGCCACTGTGGCCAGGGACAAGGGGCAGAGCCGGGGTGACAGTGGCCTTTGCCCAGGTGGCCACGTGCTGCCAGGTGTCCCTGTGCCCCGGTGGGTGCCAGCACGGTGTGACGCCTGCCCTTTGTCACCCACAGGCTTGGTGAAGACGCCCCAGGCTGGTGCCAGGCCAGTGGCTGCCTGGGCAGGGGCCATGGCGGGGGGCGCGGGGCTGGCCAAGCGCCTGGGGACGCTCCTGTCGGGGCTGCTGGAGTGCGGCGCCTTCTGCGGCATCATCTTCGGCTGGGCCTCCCTCGTCTTCGTCCTCAAGGACCTGGGCTACTTCGAGGGGCTGTGCCAGCCCTCCACCACCCCCGGCCCCAACCTCACCCTGGGGTCTGGTATGGACCCCCCCCACCGTGTCCCCATGGTCCCCTGACTCGTGACCTTGCTGTCCCAATGCCCCGAGCTGTCCCATGTCCCCACTGTGCCTGTGTCTTTGCTGTCTGCGGTGTCCTGATGCCCTGCAGTGCTCTGTGTCCCCACTGTCTCCAAGCCCACGTGCCTGCTGTCCCCCCGTCTATGTCTCCAGTACCGTCGTGTCCGTGGTGTCCCCACATGCCCGGTGTCCCCTGCATCTCCACTGACCCGTGTCCCTGGGTGCCTGTGTCCCCGTGCCCGTGGTATTCCCGGTGTCCCCATGCCCCTGTCTCCGTGTCCCCATGCCCCACTTGTGGCCGTTCCCAGACTGCAGTGGGCAGGATGAGCAGTTCTCCCTGGTCTTCACCATCGGCTCCTTCATGAACAACTTCATGACCTTCCCCATGGGCGTCGTCTTCGACCGCTTCGGCACCACGGCTGCGCGCCTCATCGCCATGTGAGCCCTGCGCCAGGGGACACGGGGGACACGGCTGGGGCTGCCGGGAATGGGGGTCATTCTGATGGCATGGCTCCCAAAGGGCTGGGGGAGGGGAATCACCTGTGATTCCTGTCCCCACGTGTCACCACCGTCCCCTTTAGCTCCCTCTACACTGGCGGGACCCTACTCGTTGCCTTCTCCACCCCAGGTGAGACCCTGTGGCCAGCAGGTCCCCAGCCGTGGGGGGACCTGTTTGGTAACCCCTGTCCCCACTGACCCCTGTGTCCCCACTGACCCCTGTGTCCCCAGAGCTGGCAGTGCTGCTCTTCCCGGCCATGTCCATGCTGTCAGTGGGTGGCATCCTCCTCATCCTCACCAACATGCAGGTGGGTTCCCCCTGCACCCTGATACCCACGTGGTGGCAGGACACCCTGTGTGGCACGGGAGGGCTCTGATGGCACGCAGGGGTCTCTCGGTGCCAGGTGGGGAACCTGTTTGGGAACTACCGCTCCATCATCATCACCCTCTACAACGGGGCCTTCGACTCGTCCTCCGCCATCTTCCTCATCGTCAAGGTGGGTGCGAGAGACGTGGCAGTGGCGGCAGGGGAGGACAGAGCTGGGAACAGCTGGGTCACATCTACGGACGTATTGGGGACACAGTCTGGGACACACTGAGTCACATATGGGGACACACCTGAGGCCTGAGCAGGCGGCCACTAGCAGCCTGTCTCTGTCCCTGACTCTGTCCTTGTCCCCAGCTGCTGTACGAGCAGGGGCTGTCTCTGCGGGCCATGTTCCTCTTCCTGGCAGCCTGCAGTGCCTGGCACCTCCTGCGCACCCTCTTCCTGATGCCACGCAGCCGCATCCCCTACCCGCTGCCCCCCGACTACAACTACGGGTATGGGGGTGCCTGCACCCTGCCTCTGGGGGCTCTGGGGAGAGGGGTGCTGGGTGCCACCCGGGGCTGGGTCCCACCCTGCGGGCAGCGGATCCTGTCCCCTGGGCAGGTCCAGCCCTGGCAGGTGGACGCAGGGTGACACAGGCGCTGCCACAGGCTGCAGTGCCGGAGCCGTTCCCGCTCCTACCGAGCCCACAAGGACAAGCAAACCCCGGGAGAGGCCGGACCGGAGGAGACACCCCTGGAACCCCCCATAGCTCGAGGTGCCGGAGTGGGAATCTGCTCGGTGGGGTGGGGCTTATATTTGGGGAGGGGCTTGACCGGGTGGGCGTGGTCACATCTGGCTGTGGGCTGTGCTATGTAAATGAGGGGTGTGGCATGGGGATGGGGATGTGCATGGCCTGGTTGAGGGCACCATACATATGCAAATAGGTGGGTGTGGCCTTCTGGTGGTGGGCGTGGCTGTTGATAGGCGTGGCTGGAGGACGGCAAGGATATGCAAATGAAGCAGTGCTGGGTGTGGCAGTGTGTGAGCCTGGTCAAAGGGTGGGCACGGTGACATATCTGAATGAGCAGGCTCATACCGGGGGCTGTGAGGCCCCAGTGGGTGGCAGGGACAAGGTGTGGGTGTGGCCTGGGGGTGTGTCTGTATGTGCCCTGCCCTGACACCTGCACAGGTGGGGACACCCCTGGGACACCGTTCCGGGCTTGCGCCTGCTCGTGGCTCTTCGCCTGGCACGTGGCCTGGCTCTCAGTGATGCAGCTGCGCCATTACCTGTTCATCGGCACCCTCAACCCGCAGCTGGAGCACCTGGCGCATGGGGACCACGCCCTGGGTATGGCATCACGGTGGGGGGACACGGCAGGGACCCCCGGGGCCGGCCCTGCCCCCCTGACGCTGTCCCCCCACAGTGAGCACCTACACCAACGCCTTTGCCTTCACCCAGCTCTGCGGGGTGCTCTGTGCCCCCTGGAACGGCCTCATCCTCGACCGGCACAAGCGGGGAAAGGGCCCCCGCCCCGAGGGTAACTGAGCCCCCAGCCCATACCCCGCGGGTAATTGACCCCCACGGCCCTTCACCCCAAGAGGAACCACTCCTTGACCCGCACTATGGGGGTAACACCCCTCCCAGTCCTGTGCTCCCTGTCCCCTGTGTCCTCATTGCTGCCACCACCACCGTGCCCGAGCCCGCGGCCCCTGGGGGCCGTGTCCCCATGCCGTGACCGCCATGCCCACAGGGACCCTGGCCGCGCTGGCAGACCTGCGCTCGGCGGTGCTGTCGCTGGTGGTGACGGTGGCGCTGTGCCTGCTGTTCTCCGTGCTCGCCGCCGTGCCTGTCCTGCCCGCCCAGTTCGGCACCTTCGTGCTGCAGGTCATCAGCCGCTCCTTCCTGTACGGCGGCAACGCCGCCTTCCTGGCCATCGCGTGAGTGACTGGGGACAGCCCCGGGGGACGCAGGGCTCAGCGTGGCAGGGCACGGAGGCACGGTCGTTGTGGGCATAGCAGGGGACAGGCAGGGTGCCATGGTCAGCATGGGGTGGCAGGGGATGGCGGTGGCACTGGAGGGTGGCAGGGGATGGCGGTGGTGTTGGAGGGTGGCAGGTGACACAGTGGAGGTGTCAGGGCTCAGGAGGGTGCCAGGGTGGGGGTGCCAGGAGGTGCCCGTTGGTGATGTGGGTGCCTGGCAGGTTTCCCCCTCAGCACTTTGGGAAGCTCTACGGGCTGGCCATGGCACTGTCGGCGCTGGTGGCCCTGCTGCAGTACCCCTGTGTTGCCCTGGTGCAGGGGCCGCTCCAGGGGGACCCCTTCTATGTGAGTGTGCCCCCCGAGGGAGGGCTGGGGGGCTGCTCCACGGGGAAATGGAGGTCCTGCCCTGGGAGGGAAGGGGGCTTGCCACATGGGGAAATGGGGGTCTCATCCCATGGGAAAATGGGGATCCTGATCATGCCCATGGGAAAATGGGGGTCCTGCCACATGGGGAAATGGGGATGCTGCCCTGGGAGGGATGGAGTCCTTTCCCCAGGAATGGTGGGGTGTTATGCCATAAGAAATGGGAGTCCTACTCCTGGGGAAATGGAGGTGCTGCCCCAAGTGTCCTGGCCTAACACAGGGGATGGGGGATGGCACCCCAGACCCCTGCCCTGATACTCTTCCCCTCCGCAGATGAACTTGGGGCTCATCACCGTGGTGCTGGTGGCCTTTGTCAGCCCCGTGGTGGTGGCCCGTGAGTGCCAGAGGCGAGCCAAGGAGCTGGGCATGGCTGGCACCCCCCTGGCAGCCCCCCCCAGCACCGAGATCCACGACGAGACCCCACACTGAGCCCCACACCCAGAACACCATTTTTGTACCGGCCTGGGGGTGCTGTGCCTGTGGATTGGGGATAATAAACATTGCTGCCCCCTCTGCTCGCTGTGCTGCCCCCACGAGCCCCCAGCCCCGTCCCCAGGCCCCTGGTGCACACAGACACGGCTCAGGGCTCCTCTGCTTTACTGGGAAAGGAACTGGGCTGCCATGGCAGCGCTGGGGGCTCAGTACTGGCAGATGAAGGGGCGCAGCTGGAAGCAGAAGCGGCTTCGCCAGAGCCCATCTGGGGACAAGGACAGTGTCAGGGCCATGGGTGGTTCTCAGGGCCCCTCAGTACCCTGCAACCACTTGCAGTGACCCCGCTACCCCCCTTGCCTCCACCAGTGACCTGCAACCCCTCCCAGTGCCCCTCCCAGCGCCCTCGGTGCTCCCCTCAGCTCACCCAGTGCCCTGTGCTCCCCTCCCCACAGTGCCCTCCCAATGTTCCTCCAGTGCCCCAGCAGCCTGTGCTCCCCTCCCCAGCACCCCCCAAGCCTGGACACGGTGGCTGGGTGACCTTACCTCGGACACTGAGGGTGGTGCAGGTGGTGACAATGTGGAAGGGGTGGGTGGGCGCCCAGTTCGCGTAGTTCCAGGGGCTGGAGTCCTCCCAGTAGGACTCCCACTGCCCTGCCTGCTGTGCCAACACCTCAGTCCCCAGGGAGAGCCCCCACCACCCCTCCCCAGCCCCTCGACCCCAAAAAAACACCCCCAGCAACCAATAGCCAGCCCCTCATGCCTCAAAACCCAGCCTCCAGCCCCAGGCTTGTCCCCCACAAAGCAGCCCTGGACCCTCACCCCCCAAAGCAGCTTCCAGCACCCTTCGGCAGCCCCTTGTCCCCGGAGTGCCCTCACCCTGCGGCTGGTGACAGCTCCAATCCAGGGTGAGATGGTGATGTGGTAGGTTCGTGCCAGTTTCTGCAGCTCCTGGTTGCGGGCAGCGCTGTGCACGGAGGCCAGCCGGCCCCGGTACACGTCCTGGCAGTAGCGCTGTGGGACGGGCACGGGCTGGCACCAGGCACTCACCTGCGCACACGGGCACCTCCCGCCCGTGCTGCCGTGGCACGGGCACAGCCTGGCATCCTGGTACAGCCCCTGTGGCCCACGTCCCCTCACCTGGGCGCCCGAGTAGGTGCGCAGCTTCTTCACCACGGCGTAGTGCGGCTGGGTGGTGTCACCAGCGGGGACCCCCGGGGGCTGGCCGGGGGCTGCAGGGCACAGCAGGGGGAGGGTTGGTACCGGGGGTCCCTCCGCCACCCACCGCCAGCCCCAGGCGTGTGGCACTGGCGGTGTGGGCATGGCACTGGGGTCGCAGGGACTGAGGGTGTCCCCAGGTGTCCCTGTGAGTGGGCAGGGGTGTGGGGGACACTCACCAGGGTGGCTGGCAGGGACAGTGCCCAGCAGGGCGAGAGTGAGCAGCAGGCACGGCCACATGGCAGTGGGACACGCAGGGACACTGGGGACACCACCAGCACCCTCTGGAAATGCCACAGCCCTGTCACCCCTCACTACGGTCCAGAGCCCCTCTGCCACCCTCGGTAACAATCTGTTCTCTCTGTGGCCCTTCTGCCATCCCCCATGTCCCCACTGTCCTACTGCCATCCCCAGTTCCACCTTGTGTCCCTCACCCCATCCTGCCCCTCTGTGCCCCATACCCCCACTGTCCCTCTACCATCCCCTGTGCCACTCCCATGTACTCCTGGCATCCCAGAGACCCCCGTGTCCCCCAACACGCTTGTCCCAGCCTCACAAATGCCCACCCCAGCAGCCAGGGGCTGAGCCCACTCCCATGTCCTCCTCCATGTCCCTGTCCCCATCCCTGTTCCTCACCTGGAGTCTGGGGGGCTCTGCCCGTTGTCCCCATTATAGGGGGGACAAAGCCACGTGTCACCACCACAGCCTTGCGCCACCCAGCCTGGCCCTGGGGACACCATGGGGACATTGGGGACACTGGGGGGAGGGAGTCCTTGGCCCCCAGGGAGGGGGGGCATAGGGGCGGGGGTGCACAGGGGTGCCCAAGGCAGGTTGGGGTGTGTAGGGGTGGGGGCTGCTCCAGTTTGAAGGGTGCAAGGCAGGTGTTGGGGTGCAGCACGGGCTGGGGTGGGGGTGCTGGGGGTGCAGAGGGGATGTTGGGTGCTGATACCATCTCCCGCCAGCCATGCTTGCCCAAGGGCCATTTCCTTTCCAACGGCCGTGGCCCCCTGGGTCCGGCCTGGCCGTTTGCCCACAGAGCCCCTTGAGCCCCCCCATAATCTCCCATGCCCCTGACCAGCCCCCTGGCCTGCAGCTGAGCACCCACAGCCCCCCCGAGGACTCTGCACCCCAATCCTTATCTCCATGCCCTGTGCACCCCTGCACCCCAACCCCTCCAGCCACTGCACCCCAACCTCCCTGAGCCCCTGTACTGTCAACCTGCACCCCAAACTCCCACAGCCCCCTCCCCACACCCTGCACCCCACCCCCTCCAGCCCCTGCACCCCAACCTCCCTGAGCCCCTGTACTGTCAACCTGCACCCCAAACTCCCACAGCCCCCTCCCCACACCCTGCACCCCAACCTCTCCAGCCCCTGCACCCCAACCTCCCTGAGCCCCTGTACTGTCAACCTGCACCCCAAACTCCCACAGCCCCCTCCCCACACCCTGCACCCCAACTTCTCCAGCCCCTGCACCCCAACCTCCCTGAGCCCCTGTACTGTCAACCTGCACCCCAAACTCCCACAGCCCCCTCCCCACACCCTGCACCCCAACCTCTCCAGCCCCTGCACCCCAACCTCCCTGAGCCCCTGTACTGTCAACCTGCACCCCAAACTCCCACAGCCCCCTCCCCACACCCTGCACCCCCCAAACCCCACAGCCCCTCCCCTGGACCAAGCCCACCCCAGGCTGTGGCACTGGCTGGGCAGGGCACTGGCAGAGCCCTCCTGGGGTGTCCCCCACCATGTCCCCAGCAGTTGGTGGTTGGGGATGTCACAAGGCTGTGGTTGGGGGCGTGTGTCCCTGTCACCAATATAAGGGTGGCAGTGGGCATAGCCGCCCAAGACCCAGGTGAGGAGCGGAGATAGGGACACAGGGGTAGGCTCAGCCCTCAGCTGCCAGGGTTGGGGGTTCCTGAGTCTGGCACTGGGGGCCCGGGGTGGAGGGGGCATGGTGGGGGACAGAATGGCACAGGATGGCCAGGGGAAGGAGTGACCCAAGGGTGGGAAGTGAGGAACTGGGCAGATGGTGGGCACAGGAAGGATGGGGTCTCTGGGGGTGGCACTGGGGGTGGCAGAGGGACAGTGGGGATAAGGGGGGTTTCTGAGGGGACATGGGGAGGACAGGGTGATGCTGGGGTTGGCATGGGGATGTCCCCAGGGTGGCTGAGAGTGATGGCACTCTGGGATCTCCCATGTGCTAGTGGTGTCCTCAGTGTCCCTGTGCCATGCGGTCCTGCCTGCTGATTGCCCTGGCCCTGCTGGGCACAGTTCCCGTCAGCCGCTCCGGTGAGTGTCCCCCACACCCCCACCCGCCCACAGGGACATCCTGGGGACACTCCTGATCCCAGGGTGACCCAGCCAGTGCCCCCAGCTCTTGCCAGCCCTGCGGTGGAGGATGAGGAGGACGTGACGGAGCTGGAGATGCCTGAGGAGTTCAGCGGATGCCGGGGGGGCAGCGACAAGCAGGCACCTGGTGTCCCCAGCATGCCTGGCACTGCCACCTGCCGCTACGTCATCATCCGCCGCTGCCGGAGCTTCCGCCAGGCCCAGGTGGGATGGGGTGCGGTGGGTTGGGAAGGGGCTCGGGGTGGGGGCACCAGTGCCCTCCATGACAGCCGTGTCCCTGCAGCGCATCTGTGCCCGGCGCTTCTGCGGGCGCTTGGCCTCGATCCACGATTCCCGCACCAACACCTTCCTGCTGCTCCTGGCGCGCCGGCACACTAATTCCGGCCTGGTCTGGATCGGTGCCGTCAGCCAGCCCGCTGTAAGGACCCCGCCTCGCGCCCCCCACCCTGGCCAAGGGGCACCCTGTCTCTCCCAGTGTCCCCAGTGCCCACCCCGGGTGTCCCAGCCCCGTGCCATCATTCCCAGTGCACAACCTGGGTTCCCCAATCCCATTCCCAGTGCTCTCAGTGCCCATCAAGAGAGCCACAACTCCACCCCAGCGCCCACCTGGGTGCTCCAGCCTTGTCCCAGCATCCCTAATGCCCACCCTGGATGTCCCATTCCCATCCCACTGTCCCCCAGTGCTGGGGGTCCCCACACCCTTTCTCCCCTGGCAGGTCCCATCCCCAAACTGCCACTGGACTGACCGGAGCCCCTGGAACTACAGCCGCTGGGTGCCGGGACACCCCCTGCCCGGCCGCCGCTTCTGCACCGCCCTCTGCACCAACAGTCAGTGGGGGCTCAAGGGGGGGTCCAGGGGGGCGCTGGGGTAGCCCCTGCCCATGATGGGGGGAGGGTGCTGAGGGGCTCAGGATGGGGAAGTGACACTGGGGGGCTGGTATAAGGTATCTGGGGGGCTATCCCTGGGGCTGGAGGGGTCCCTGGGGTGGGGGTGCTGGTGGGCCATGGGCTGATCCCCTCTCTTCTCTCCCCAGACGGGCTCTGGAGGAGCGTGCGCTGCAAGAGGCAGCTGCCCTTCATCTGCGAGATATGAGGGGCTCAGCCCCCCTGGGTCCTCCCCTACTGCTGTTCCCCTACAGGGGGCTGCACCCCCTCCCTTGGAGTATAATAAAGTCTTGCTGTCAGCACCCACTTGGTGTTTGGGCAGGGCCAGGCTGGGCGCAGCCAGGGTGGGTCCTGTGTGGGAAATGGCAGTGGCAGGGTCCCCTCATCAAGGATCTCTGTGATCCCTGCCCACGGCCCAGGAGAAGAGTCAGGACTCTCTGAACTGACCAGCGAGGTTTTATTGTCTGTGGCAGTGGCACCACGAGCTGGACCCGTTGCCCTGTGTCCGGGGCCATACACGAGCAGGGTGGAGGGGAAGGGGGGGGCTTTGTGCCCATCCCCAGGCCCTTGGGGACCAAGGGGATGGGGTACAGCGGCGGGTTAGGGAGGAGGTGCTGGGAAGACAGGGACCCTGCAAGCTCGTACAAAGTGCATAGGTGGCTGTGTGTGTGTGTGTGTGTGTGTGTGTGTGTGTCCCCACAGGAGGGGACAGCCCTGGTCCAGGGACAGCGGGCTTCAGCGTCGGAGTGAGCCTGGAAGTGACACAGAGGAAGGAGTGATGACCCTGCAGGGCCCCCCGGCGATGAGCCAGCCTGGGGGGACCCAGCCAGAGCAGAGAGGAAGGAGGGGGCTACCCCCAGCAGTGCAGACATGGGGAAGCCTGAGCTGGGGGGGTGTCCCCAGCACTGCCTGAAATCCCACACTCACCCTGCTCAAGGCTTCTTCCTTTTCAGCTTCAGGGCCTGCAGCCAGTGGGGGGGAGAGGCCTCGGATCTGGGGTATTGGCAGAGTTTCAGCATGAGCCCCCCAAAACCAGTCCTGGGACCCAGACTGACCCCTCAGCCCCCCCTTTTGCCTCCATGAGGAGGATCCTGGCCCCACACTCACCCTGAGGTTTTCTCTGGCTTGGGGGGCAGGGCTGGGGGTTTCCCACTCACACCGGGGATCTTGCAGGACTTGGAGCGCTGCACATGGGGGTCTTTAGGAGGGGTCCCCTTGCTGTCCCCTGATGATGTCCCCTCCTCGGCCGAGCGGTTGCGACCCCTCAGCTTGGCCTGGGGGCAGAGAGAGAGGTCAGGGAGAAACACAGCACTCTGTCCCCCAAATCCCCCCACTGCCTTCTCCCTGTCTTTAGCCAGGCCCCAGCCCCACCCTGCCTTTGTCTCCCTGGGTTCCACCCTCCCCTCCACCCTGCAGCCAGGAGTCCAAGGGACTCACCTTGATGGCAGAGGCACTGAGGCCAGGAAAGAGCGGCACCTTGACCCCCCTGCCCGAGGATGAGCCGCGCATCCGCCGGCTCCGGGGCTCCTCTGCTGCTTCCTCGTCGGAGGATGCTGCCGGGGCTGGCCGGGGCTCTGTGGGGACACAGGGACAGTGTCACCACGACACTGTGCCAGGACAGACACCCTGCTCCCACCCCCATCCCACTGGGCTCACCTGTGGAGTCCCGGAAGATCCAGCTCTCTCCCTCGGTGGTGGTGGGGCGCAGGGATGGTGCCCGGTGCTGGCGCTTGCGGCCCAGGCTGGCCTTGCAGCGGAACACGCTGCTGTCCAGGAGCTCCGTGTCCTGCCGAGCCCAGGGGACAGGTCACAGCTGGCACAGGGAGCCCAGGGACCCCCTGCCCCAGCCAGCACACCCACAGCCCCCACAGCAGTGCTGGGGGCTCTCAATCCATGGCTGTCCCTGGGGGCAGCAGGGTCTGAGAGCCCCATCCACAGACACATGCTGTGTCCCAGGCCATACAGGGTGACTGGAATGTCCCCACTTCCACTCACCTCCAGAAGAGGAAATTCCTGTCCCTGCTCCATGGACCCCTCGGGCTGGGGGGTAGTCAGTGAGAGCCGCTGCTCCCCCCAGCTCAAGGAGCTCTCCCCGTCTGGGTGGTCCGAGGGCTGTTCCTCACTTCCTGCGTTCATTGGGATCCCACTGGCAGCCTCTGGCAGCACAGGGGGGACCATGGGGCTCTGTGGGGCAGTGGCTGGTTCAGAGGGATGCCTCTCTTCCTCAGAGTGGCTGGGTGACTCACTCCGGGGGGGCTCCACAACTGGGCAATCAGCTGGAATGTCACCCATCGAAGGGCTGGGGACCGACCTGCTTGGGGGACAAAATCTCAGAGTTGTCCTAGCCCCAGGTGACACAAGCCCTGACCCAAACCCCTCCGTCTGCCGCAGGGGAAGCTGCTCCCTCCCTGCCACCGCCGGTGCCCTCCTTACCCGTGCTCTGCGCCGGTGTCCCCTCCCACGCTCCGCTCCCCCGCACCAAGGTCCCGGCTGCGGGCAGCGCAGCGGGCGCTGAAGGCACTCGCCCACTCCTGGCGCCTGGCCTCGGCATCCTGTGGCTCCACACTCAGGCTGTCCAGGTCCTGGCTCCAGCGGGCATTGCCCATGTCCAGAGAGAGATCCCTGTGCAAGCCTGCCCGGGGCTGTGGCAGGACCCCGGACATGGAGCCATCCGAGGCTCTGGCACTGCAGGGATCTGCCACCCGCTCTGTCCCAATGACACCAAACTGGCTCTGGCACTCAGATGCTCCAAGCTCCTCAGTCCCGTCCCTGCTGCTAGAGCTGTGATGCTCCTGCTGGTGGGCACTGCCCCAGGTGGGCTCCTGGGCCGGGGGCTCGGGGCAGTGGGAGCTGGGCATGTCCTGCTCACCAACCCTGACCAGCCCGCTCTGTCCGATGCCACCCTCACCGGGCCAGCTCAGCCGGGCTGGGACCCGCTCCTGCTCTTCCTCCATGGGGGTCACAGAGCTGTGCTGCCCATCCCAGGCTGCTCCACTGGGGCTCAACTCTCTGTCCTGTGCCTCCACATCCCTGGTGCTGGATCTGTCATCCCAGACACTTCTGCTGGGGCTGAACTCCCCATTCCGGGTCTCCGTGTCCCCAGTGCTGTGCCTGCCATCCCCGGCTGCTCTGCTGGATGTGAATTCACTGTCCTGGGTCTCCATGTCCTTGGTGCTGGATCTGTCACCCCAGGTAGCTCCGCTGGGACTGAACTCATCCTGGGTTTCCAAGTCCCTGGTACTGCATTCACTGGCTTCAGCCAGCCTCCTGGGGCTGAACTCCTGGTCCTGGCTCTCCACCTCCTTGGTGCTGGATCTGTCATCCCAGGCTGGCCTGCTGGGGCTGAACTCCTGATCCTGGCTCTCCATGTCCCTGCTGCTGCATCTGTCATCCCAGGCTGGCCTGCTGAGGCTGAACTCCTGATCCTGGCTCTCCATGTCCCTGCTGCTGGATCTGTCATCCCAGGCTGGCCTGCTGAGGCTGAACTCCTGATCCTGGCTCTCCATCTCCTTGGTGCTGGATCTGTCATCCCAGGCTGGCCTGCTGAGGCTGAACTCCTGATCCTGGCTCTCCATGTCCCTGCTGCTGCATCTGTCATCCCAGGCTGGCCTGCTGGGGTTGAACTCCTGATCCTGGCTCTCCATGTCCCTGCTGCTGCATCTGTCATCCCAGGCTGGCCTGCTGGGGCTGAACTCTTGGTCCTGGCTCTCCATCTCCTTGGTGCTGGATCTGTCACCCCAGGCTGGCCTGCTGGGGCTGAACTCCTGGTCCTGGCTCTCCATCTCCTTGGTGCTGGATCTGTCACCCCAGGCTGGCCTGCTGGGGCTGAACTCCTGGTCCTGGCTCTCCATCTCCTTGGTGCTGGATCTGTCATCCCAGGCTGGCCTGCTGGGGCTGAACTCCCTGTCCTGGCTTTCCATGTCCCTGATTTCACCAGTCCAGGCTGGCCGGCTGGGGCTGAACTCCCTGTCCTGGCTCTCCATGTCTCTGGGGTTATACCTCCTATCCCAGGCTGGCCGGCTGGGGCTGAGCTCCTTATCTGGGCTGTCCCCGGTGCTGGATCTGCCAGCCCAGCCCAGCGTTAAATTCTCGTCCTTGCTCCCAGCATCCTGGCTGCTGTATTTACTGGCCCAGTCTGGGGTGAGTTCCCTGTCCTTCATCTCCATGTCCCTGTCGCTGTACCTGTCTGCCCAGGTGGGCTGCCCAGAGTGTGGCTCCTTGTCCAGCTGCCGGACGTGTCCCGTGCCAAGGCCACTGCCCCAGTTGGCCTGTCTGGAGCCAAGCTCCTCTGTGCTGCCATAGCCCTGGCCCCACTCAGCTGTGCTGGCACTGAAGTCTGGATCCTGTGGGCAGCTCTTCCCAGTGCCAAGGGACTGGGACCAGTCGCTGCAGCCCAGTTTCGTGTCCCCCATCAGCTCCGCTGCTCTGTAGTCACCACTCCAGCTCTCACGGGCAGTGCTGTCCTTGTTGCTGTGGTTGCTGTCCCAGCTGGATTTGGTCCCAAATTCCTGGTCCTGCTTGGTCTCAACAGGCCAGTCTCTCTCCCTGGATGCACCTGGGTGGCTCCAGTCAAAGGTGCTGTCCTGGCGAGGGTGGCCAATGCCGAACTCACTGCACAGGTCCTTCCGTGACCAGCCCAGCAGGTTCTGGTGGAATAAAGGGAAGAGGAGTTAGAGGGGGAAAAGAGGTTCGAAAGGAGAGAGGAGTTTGAGGGGAGTGCAACCCTGGCTCCCACAGCAGCGGAGCTGGGGAGGAGGGGAACACCTTGGGGACACAGCACAGTGGGGCTCATCCCAGGAAGGGGGCAGACCCCACCACCTGCCCCTCAGCACACAGTCCTGCTCAGCCTCCACTGACCCCCTGCCTGTCCTGTCCCATCCCACTGCTCCGTGGAGGGCAGGGAGGAGCCCAGCCCACACCGACCCCACAGAGCCCCCCACACCCCTCACCTCTGGAGAGCTGTGGACCCCAGGTGACTCCAACAGTTCTGTCAGCCAGCCTGGGTCAGCGTGGGGGTCAGGCTCCTGTGAGGGTTTCTCAGCCTGGCCTGGGCCCCCAGGACTCTGCAGGCTCTTGGGGCCATCACCTGCCCAGGCTGAGTCAGCTGGAGCAGCTGGATCTGGCAGGGCTGGATCCAGGGGGCCAGCTGTGGTAAGGCTGGGCTGGGTGGGGGACTCAGGCTCAGCTGGCTGCTGGCCAGGCTCTGTCACACAAAGTGGGGAATGGGACATGGGAGCATCTTGCTCTGCCTCCCTTTCCTCCTCCTCCTCCTCCTCTGCTGAGTGCTCAGCCTCTTGCTGTGCCACAGGACCCCCTGGGCATGGAGCCCCCTCTGCCTGCTGGCTGCCAGGTCCTTCAGCCCTGCTGTCCTTTGGAGGGCTGGGGGCTGCAGCCTCCCCATCTGACTCCCCCTCTTCGGACAGCCCTGAGTCGGGTGTCTCCCGGATGGGGGAGCGGGGAGGGAAGGCTGGCAAGCGTGCCCCCCGCGACGGGAATGTCCACTCAAAGGACTGGGAAAGGCTCCAGCCGGACTCACTGCCCAGGGAGGGCTCTGACAGGAGGTCTCCAGCCCGGGGCAGGGCACTCAGTGAGCCCCCCAGCTCCCCCAGGCCCTGCCCCGTGGGCGGGGGCCGCAGCACTCCCTCTGAGGAGCGCCGGAGCCCCACATCCCGGGGAGGGGGGTTGAAATCAGGACCCTCATGGAACCGTGGGGACACTGCGGAGTCATCAGGTCCCTCTGGGGAGCCTGGGGGACGAGAGGCTTTGGCAAGGGGTGGGCTGGGGGGGCCCAGGTACTCGGCAGCAGCCTCGGGAGAGCCAGGGGGACAGGTGACTCGTGGGGGCAGTTCAGGAGTGCCAGGGGGGCTGGCAGTGCCAGGGGATCCCTCCCCTGGAGTGTGTGGGGAGCCAGGGGAACGAGAGACTCTGAGCTGGAGATCGGTGGCCGAGGGAGCGCCCGGGGCCTGGATGGAGGTGACAGGGACCTCGACTGGAGGCCGAGTGGGGGATTCAGGGGAGCCGGGGGGCAGTGTCGGGGAGTCAGGGGCCAGGAGCTCGGGGGGGGCATCAGGGGAGCCAGGGGCTGGGGCAGAGGGCTCAGCAGGCTGGAAAGGAGCTCCTGGGGCTGGGGCTTGGCAGGTGGGGGGCCTTGGGGAGCCTGGAGGTCCAAGGGCACCCAGCTGTAGAGTGGAAAGCTGTGGAAAAAAGCCAGCAGGGGGTCATGTCACTCAAAAGGCACCTCCAAACATCATCCATCCAAAAGCCAGACCCCAAACCTCTGGAGGGTCCCTCCCTCCAGCCCTGCTCCCCTCCCTGCACCCAGGGCAGGAAGTGCCCATGCTGCGTGCCAGAACCAGGCTGCTCCCGCGTGACTCAGCCAGGGCGGCTCCCGGCGCCCCAGCCCTGCTCCCTGCCCGGCCCCCTGCAGCCCCCAGAGCGCCTGGACAGATGGAGACAAGAAATGAAGCAGGAAGAAGTCAGAACCCCCAGCACAGCCCCCTGCCCTGCCTGTGGCTGGCATCCTCCTGCCCAGCACTGCTGGGATTTGCCCCCTTGCTGGGGTGACCTGGTGCCGCTGCCCAGGCTGCCACCCGCAGTGTCACCATGGCCCGGTGTCCCGGTCACCGCCCTGAGTGAGCACGGCACAGGGAAAGGGCCTGGCGGGGTGCCCGTGGGGCCTGCCCTGCCACATACCTGCCAGGTCACCGAACCCCAGCTGGTGACTCACGGCTGCTCCCTGCCCACGCCTGGCACTGCTGTTGGCACACGCCACCCCCACAGCCCCGGGCCCCACACCGGGCTTTCGGCACAGGGGGCCCTGATTCCCCCCAGGAAGGGACAGCCAGCACCCCAAGGAGAAAGGAGAGACACGCACCCCGCAGAGAGGGAGCCCCGGAGGAGACAGGAGAGCCCCGAAGGAGAGAGCCCAGGAGCGGAGCCGCCATGGCGCCGGAGGGCGAGGCCAGCACTCACGTCAGGAGGGGATGGCGGCCTCCGGCGTCCACAGGGGTCCCCGGCACAGCTCGGCCCGGCTGGGGGGGAGCTGCTGCGGAGAGAGAAGGGGAAGGGGGGTAAATCCCACTGTGTGCTTCAGTGCTATTCTCCCACCACCCTTCACGGATGCAGGGTACAAGGGGTCGGGCCCTGCCACAGCTGCACCGTCTCTGGCTTGGGCTGCGAGGGGAAGGAGGCAAAATGGCCCCAACTCCCCTTCCGGAAAGTTTTCGGTCCTTTGGGAACGAGTTTCTCACACTGTGGCTCAGAGCAGCCCCCGCCCAGCTCTCCCTGAGGTGCCTGGCTCTCGGGATCGTGGCCAAGCCCAGGCCCTAGCCCAGGACATCCTGCAGTTGGGAGTCCTGCCGATCTGACTGCTCCCTGTGCCCTGGCATGGCCCAGCAGGGAAAAAATAGCAAGGCTGGAAAATCAGGAGCATTTCCTGGGGGAGCGACCCCCTGTCTGTAACTCCCAGCCCAGGGGCTGGCTCAGAGCCCGCCCACAGGCAGCTCCTGGCCCGGGACAGCCCATTCTGCGGTTGGCACCAGCCGCCCCGGCCTTCCCACGGAGGCAGCTTGAGGCACTGCGGCTTGGGAGCGGGAGGAACCCGGGCCCCGTGCCGGCGACCAGACCTCAGCTCCGTTACATTCCCAAGCCTGGGATGGCTCGGAGTGATATCCCCTGTTCCCACTGCCACTCCTCCCGGCGTCGGTCCCTGTGCCCTCACCTCATCTCAGCCACAGGGTGTCCATCATCCCCCATTCCCAGCTCGCCTGCCGCAGGTCGGGGCATCTGGGGGGCTTCAGTGGCAGGATCTCCGTCTGCCTCCCCACTGGGACGCTTCCGGAACGCAACAAAGGTCTTGGAGCCGAAGCGGGAGGAGGGGTCGGTGCACAAGGGCGAGAGCCAGGCTCGGTCTGGGCTGCCCGGGCCCTCCCTGCTGTCCATCTTGGCCAGGATCTCCTCCACGGTGGTGCCCGGGAACCGCTCCGGCCTGGCGGCCACCGGCACCGGCGTCACCTTGAAGGGCGCCGGGCCCTTGCGCGAGGGGGTTGGCGGGGCCGGCGGCACCTCCTCCTCAGTGCTTGTGACCGAGGGCGACGAGGGCCCCTTCCCGTTGGGGGTCTCGGGTGATCTGACAGTGAAGGAGGGGCGCCGGAGGGGCCCCCCTGCGCCTGCCCCGCTGTAGGGCTGGGGCCCGGCCAGGCGGTTCATCTTCTCGGCCGAGGGCAGCTCGGGCCGGGGGTGCCGCGGGCCCGGCGTGGGGGGCGGCACCGGGGGCTTGGCGGGCACTGCCGGCTTGGGCAGCACGCGGGGCTTGGGCCGCACCGGTGGCTTGGGGCGTGCGCTGCCTGCAGAGAGCAAGGGACGGAGTCAGTGGAGTGGTGTGGCCCCCCAAACCGGGAATAGCCTTCGGGGGGCTGCCCCAGCACCCCCCCCACCCCGGTGGCCCCCAGCCCAGGGTACTGACCTTTATCGGGGCTGCCGGCCAGCCCGGTCCCCGCAGTGCCGGCAGGGGAGGCGCAGGGCACGGCGGGGGGCAGGGGCTGCGGCTGGGAGGCCATGGTGACGCAGGCAAGTGGGGGGCTCAGCACGGGGTCAGCCCCTGGGGAGAGAGGGAGAATGGTTTTGGGGAGCGCCCCGAGCCTGGGGGAACCCAACCACCCTGTGGGGCCCCGTGCCAAGCCCTGTCCAGCTGTGCCAAACGGTGATCACACCGTGGTGCCAGCCCTAGTACATTGGCCCCGGCTCACCTGAGCCAGCCTGGCCCCAGCAGCAGAGCCAGACACGGTCCTAACCCCCCACCCCCCGTAACCACAGGGACCCCACACGACACCCCCTAACGCCGCGGGGCCGCTCCTTCACCTGTGTGACCCTGAGCTAACCTGTCCCAGCACACACGTGTCACTCTCACCGGCCTTCGCCAAACCCCCAGCGCCGAGCTGGCCCCCAGTTTGCCCCAATCACCACCTCAGCTCCCTGCCCAGGTCACTCCCGGCCCCCCCGAGCCCCCGGCAGCCCAGGAGGCACCGCCCGGTCCCCCGAGACCCTCAGCCAGCCCCTCTCAAGGGCCGCGGGTGCCCCACTCACCTTCCCCACAGCAGCCTCATGTCGGGGGCGGGCCGGGGACGCACGTGGGGGGCGCAGAGCGGGCGGGGAGGAGGGGTTACTGTCCCCACGGGTCTCACGCTGCCGCCGCCGCCTCTCCCGTGACTCACCGGGGCTGCGGGGACAGGAAAAACCCGCTCGGTGCCTCCTCCCAGCCCTGCCCTCTCTCCCCTGCCCTCCCCCCGCCGCCCTCCTCTCCCCGCCTCGCTCCCTCCTGCCCCGCCGGGGTCCACCCTCCCCAAGACCCCCCTCCTCTCGCCTTCCACGGGGGAACCGCCGCCACAGCCCACATCTGGCGACCATCCGGCCCGTTTCCCGGCCCGGGATGGCGGCGGGGCCCCGGGATGCGGGTCCGGCCCCCCGGGGTCCTCCGCCAGCGCGGCCTAGCCTCGTTGCCACGGCAACGAAGCCTCCGATCGAGTGGCTGAGTAGGCCGCGACCGCGGCCTAGCGCCGTCCCCATGACAACGAAGCCCCCCCACTCAATTCGTGGGTCTCGGACCCATGTTGCCCGCCGGGGCCGAAGCCGTGTGGTCCCCCGGGCGGGCGCCACGGGCCCGGGGGGAATGCCGGTTACCCGCAGCCCCATGCCGGCGGAGAGACCCCCACTCACCCTCCACCGCCGCTGCTCATGCATATTCATGAGAGGCCTGGCCACGCCCCCAGCGGCGGAGTGGGGCGGGGCAGAGCGGCGCCGCGTGGCGGGCGGACCATAGAGAGGGGCGGCCGGAGAGTCCTCCGAAATGGGGGTGGGGGACTCGCTGAGGACCTCCAGCACTGTCCCAGTCACCTTCGGGGACCCAAACAGCCGAGCAGGATCCCCCCCGATTGCAAATTATCCCATTCCCGGGGTCCTTCAGCCGCGGGGCTGCTGCCAGAGGGGCGCTAACGCGTAGTTAGGCGGAGGTTGCTGTGACAATAGAGCCCCCCCCGCCATTCGGGCATCCAGGGTCCCTTGTGCCCACCGGGGACACGCGGCTGGCGCCTGTCCCGGGAGACTCCTGCTTCCCCGTAGCCCCATCCCAGCGGTGCCGGTAAAGGCAGTGGAAGGAGGGGGGAACAGGCAGCCATGGGGTCCCCCCGGGGCTGGTTCCAGACCGGGAATCGGCTGCAATCAACACCGGAGGGGAAACAGGCCTTAATCGGATCAACCCCCTCATGAGGGAGGTAGAAAAACCCCCAAATGGCATCAGGATCGAGCGAGGGGCTGTAATTAGGAGTCCTGATGGCTGAGCAGGGGCTGGGGGCCGCTAATGGAGGGTGGGGAGGGAGTGAAGTCAGCCCTGGAAGCGGTTCAAGGAGGGGAATGAGCTCCCGGATGGCTGCAGGAAGGAAGGAGGGAAGGGGGAGCCAGCCCCACACCCACACAAACACCATCAGTGGGGTTTTTTTTTTTTATTCAACCCGAGTTGCCATGTGAACAGACCCAAAATACAAAAAAACAACACCAAAAAAAACCAACGAGGGAAGGAAAGGAAAGGAGAGAAAGCCAAGAGTTTAGAAAAAATAAATTGATGGAATACAACGATGAGGGACTGAGGAGGCACCTTCTGCCACCACGGGGTGCTGGGGGGACAGGGGAACCTGGCCCTGCTCCGGGGTGGGAGCCATCCAGAGCCCGGGACCCTGGTCCCTGCCGCGGGGCTGGCCTGCCCAGTCCTCTCCTCTGGGATCCAGCCTGGAGCCAGCTGGGATGGTGCTAATCCGAGCCTGAGGCAGAGTCCTCTGAGCTGGGGGGTGGGCTGGCAGCTCCCTCCTCCTCCGAGTCCTGCAGGCAGGGGACAGAGAGGTCAGCAGGGGACAATGAAGGCAGTGCAGCATCCCCCACTACAGCGGGGACAGGGTGATTGTGGTAACTTGTGGACACACCAAGGGATGTCCCCAAGGACATGAAGTACCAGAAGGACCCAGCCTCTCCAGCAGAAACCAGCAGGATGTTCCCCGAGGAAGAGGCACTGGGGTCCTCCCAGAGTTGTTCCCTAGGGAAGAGGGACCAGGACCTGCCCCAGTTGTGACCCCACCTCCTTCTTGCTCTCTGCAGAGGAGCTCTCATCGCTGGACACGAACTCCTTGCTCTTGAAGCTGTCACTCATGCCCTTAGCGGGGGACTTGGAGGATGAGGACTTGGAGGTGGCGCCTTTCTTGTCCCCTTTCCCCTTCACCTGCTTCTCCTGCTTCTTCTTCTTCTTCTTCGACCTCTCCCTGCACAGGGTTGGGTGAGCAGAGGGGAGAGGAGCCACGTTACCCATCTGGCCCTGGGAACAGCCTGATTTTGGGGGGCCAAGCCCTGCCAGCCCCTTGGCAGCACACTCACCCCCTGTGGCTGTCGGCCTTGCTGCCCACACTGTATTCCTTCATGGCCTTCTCGTAGTCCCGCCTGGCATCTTCCGCCTTCCGATCCCACTCCTGCAGCCAGAGCACAGGGTCAGCGAGGCCACCCCTCCTCCTCCACCATCCTCCAGCACCCACCTGCACCCCACCCTGCTCCCATTCCTGATCACCCAGCTCACCAGCCCGAGGATGTCCCCACCCCTTCCCAACTCCCCATCTGGGCAACTCTCAGCTCCCAGGAGCAAGGAAGCATAGCCAGCCTCTCCTCCTGTACCAGGCCCAGCTCTACCCTCACCTCCTTCTTCTCCTTGGACATGGCCTTCCAGAGCTCCCCAGCCTTCTTGGACAGATCGGTGATGCTGATGCCAGGGTGGTCCGACTTGATCTTCTCCCGGCTGGCATTCAGCCAGAGCATGTAGGCCGACATCGGGCGCTTGGGAGCATTGGGGTCCTTCCCCTTCTTGCTCTGGGAGGTGAAGAACACCCATGGAAGCCCAATGCACCCCTCACCCTACACCTCGGGACCGGGCTCTGCTCGCCTCTGCACCCCCAGCAATCCAGCTGGGGAGTGGGGCTAAAGGGTCACAGCCGGGGGTCCGGCTGCTGGAGAACAGCCAAACAACAACCAGGATAGGCTGGGCATGGCAACAACGTGCCCTTGGGAGAGGCTCAGCCTGGACCCAGCTGGATGCAGCAACACCAGGTCAGACACCAGCTCTGGCCAGGGCACTGGTGAGTGCTGCAGAGGCTGAGGTCAAGCAGCTGAGGCTGTGACCTGCCTCACCCTGCTCCAGGAGCTGGTCCTGCTCCCACAGGAGCTGGTCCTGCTCCCACAGGAGCTGGTCCTGCTCCCACAGGAGCCCCTCACCTCAGGCTGTTTCTTGCGGGGCTTGCGGTCCTTGACGATCTTGGCCTTCTTGGCCGGTTTCTTGTCGTCCCGGTCGCTGTCACCATCACCGCTGGACGAACTGGCCGAGGCGTTGCTGTCGAACCTGTGCGGGGGCACCAAGCTCAGAGCTGCCCCCAGACACCAGAGCCCTGAGGCTTCCCGGGCTGGAGCTGCCCTGCTCCCGTTAACAGCCCTCGGGGGAGTGGCCTTCCACGAACACGGCTCATTGTGTTCTGCTTCCTGGACATTCGGAGCTCTTGAGGCGCTAGGGCTCAGCTTCACAACTCTCACCCATCCTCATCCCAGCCTGGGGCTTTAACCCTCCTCCCAACTGTTCTCTTTCCCAAAAAATGCAGCCAAGCCCCCCCCTGGAGCCCTTCCAGAACTTTCTCCCACTGCCTGATGCCATTACAATGAAGTGAGCCCAGAACAGCCCCAGCTGCCCAACACTCCCAAACCCAGGGCTGTACATTCCCAAATCCAGGTGATCCCAGTCATGCTGTGAGCATCTCTCAGTGCTCACACAGCCCTAGAACAGCACCTTCCCATGGGGCTTTTGGATAAAGCCCTGCCTGGCCTCTACTCACTCTTCAGCCACATCATCATCCTCTTCTCCAGGGTTGAAGGATGAGTCTGGAGGAGAAAGTGAGGGCTCAGTGTTACAGATCATCATGGGGAGCAGGAGCTGGAGCACCATGGCAGTCCCTCACAGCCCCAGCCCTTACCTGTCTCCTCCCCTGAGCCATCACTGCTGTCATTGGCATTCTCCTCCCGGATCTTGCCCTCCTCTTTCATCCTCTCCAAGTAGGCATCGTGCTGGTCCTCATCAGAGTCAGCATATTCATCATAGCTCTGCTTCATTCCCTGCAGAAGGCAGGATGAGAGCTGCTCCCTGTGCTCCCCTCTAGAACGCAGCCCTGGGTGAGCACAGCCCTGGGCATGCACAGGCCAGGGCACAGACACAGCCATGTCCCCTCCTTCCCCCCTCAGGGCCCCGGAGAGAGAGGGGCAGAGCAGTTATGGGGGTTAAGGGCGCCCCTGCACACCACACTGGGGTTACTGGGTTAGTCAGAGACCACCACAGCCATGCACAGGAAACCTGCACCAGGAGGAGGAGGAGGAGAAAGAGGAAGGGATATCGCACGGACCTTTTTCCTCTACAAGGGCAAGGAGAGAAAAGAGAGGTGAATAAAGGAAGGAAAAGCAGCTGAATTCTGGGAGAGGGCAGCACCAGTGGGCACAAGCCCAGCTCTGTGTGCTGATACCTCCTTCAGGCCCCGGTTCTTGATGTTCAGCTTCTTGGCATTGACAAAGTCGAAGAGCTTCCCGTACTCCTCCCTGTGGGAGAGGGCACAGTCGGGCTGGGGGTGCCAGGCAGCCCTGGTGGGCACAGCCAGGCTGGCCCCACAGCCCACACCCACCTCTCGATGCTGCTGAAGGTGTACTGGGTGCCCTGCTTGGTCTCGATCTCGAAGTCGAAGGAGCGGGTGGTGGTGGTGCCACGGGCGAAGTTGACGAAGGAGATCTCGTCGAAGCGGATGTGCACGGGGGGCTTGTGTACGTAGATGAAGCCCCTCTCCAGGGGGTACAGCAGCCCTGAGCTGGCCTTGTAGGAGCAGGTGATGCACTGGGCTCCAGAGTGTCTGCAGGACAAACAGTGCTATTCATGGGGACAAACATCCTCCCCATGCCCAGCCCTGGCAGACAGGCCCTGCTCCCCAGCATGAATCACACACAGAGCCCCTTCCTCCAGCCATGGGAACAAGGTGGAAAGAGAAGGACTGGCCAAGCAGCTGCTCACCCCTGGAAGTTTCCAGGCACGGTGATCTTGCGGTTCACCAGTGCCTTCATCACCCGGCTGACCATCTCGTAGAGGGACCCTGACATGTTCTTGGTGAGCCGCCCCTCAAAGCGCTTCTCCACCTCCTCCCTGTGTGGAGGGAAGGAGGGCAGAGGTGAGAACATGGTCTGGGGTGTAAGGAGCTCCCTCAGGATCCAGGGAGGGCAGCGTGGCATAGGGGAGCTCACTCATTCATGTTGAGGGTCAGGGAGATGTCCTCATCCTTAGAGAAGAGCAGGATCAGGAAGTGGTATCGGGTCTGGCCTTGCTTTATCGGGGGGTCCAGGCTGATCTGGAAAGAGAAGAGGAGGTGAAGACACTAAACCCCCCGCAGAGGACCCCAGTGCCCTTCCAGGGGAGGGCTGAGCCACTCCCACTCACCACGAAGAACATCTGGCGCTGGTCCTTGTGCGGGAGCAGGAAGAGGCGCAGCACGGTGGTATAGGGGATCTTGTAGTCGAAGGTCTTGCCGTGCAGGTGCAGGAAGGTGGGGTAGATGCGGATGTCGTAGCGCCCGCGCGGCGTCAGGCACTGCAGCTCCCGGAAGATGCAGATGGCATCTCCAGTGGCCTGGATCACATCCGCCTTGGACAGCACGTTCTGGGCGAAGGCCTGCCAGGGGAGCGGTCACAAAGGGTCCCTCGCCGCCAGCACCCGCCCTCCTGCCGGCCCCACACACCTCCACAGGGTCCACGCCGTCCTCCTGGGTAGGGGGCACGTAGAACCGGACCTCCATGAGGGAGACCTCGGCGTCGTCATTCTGGTGGAACTCCAGCGTCACCTCGTTCTTGCCCGTGGTGCACTGGGACACGTTGCTGAGCGGGATCTCGAACACCGGCTGCTCCCCGATGTCAAAGGACAGCAGCTGCCCTGTGGGGACACCACAGCCAGCTCAGAGCTGTGCCCCACAAATCCCATCTCCAGCTACAGTCTCGCTCCTCCCCCAAAATCCAGCAGTGCCTCTGCTCTCATCACTGCATTCCCACCCTCCAAAATCCCCAGGCTTTCTCCCTTCCGGCTGCATCACTGGAAATTGACGCTGATCAGAAACAGACCAAAAGGAACTATCTGAGCCCATGTATCCTGGTCCCTGAGCTGGAGGCATATCCACCAGCTCCCCTGGCTCTCTGAAAATGGCACACATGTGCAGATTCCACATCAAGCACAGCCCCCTGGGATTCAGGGCCCTCCGGCTCTCCTGAGATGGCAAATGTCCCCACTGTCCCTGAGGACTAGAAAGCAGCTGCTCCTAAGGGAATGGCTGTGGCAGCAGAACAGCCACACTGGTGGGAACATCCCACCCCACAGCCTCAGGCTACCACTGGAACTCACCTCCAAACCTCACTGTGCCCCAGTTCCAGCCCTTCACACACAGATCCTTCTCCGCAAGCTCCAGGCAATAGTGGGCCTTGAAGAAATCTGAGAGCTTGTCAAACTCCTGGGTGGGGCAAGAGGGAGGCAACACCATCAGGAACCAGCAGTGCCCAGAGCCCCGGGTGACACACAGCCCCTGGGCATGGAGATGCAGGGGGCAGAGCTGCTCTGGGGCTGGCAGGGAGCACAGCCGGATCTGGGACAGGGCCAAGGCAGCGGGAGCAGGGACTCACCGACTCCCGGAACCCGTCATACTTGTAGACGTGGCCGTTCTTGGTGAGCAGCTTGAGGCCGTGCCCCAGCGCCACGCGCCGCCACACGCCCTCGGCCAGCTCTGAGGCCTGGATGTTGTCCACCTTCCCTGTCTTGCTGTTCTTGAAGATGACGCCCTGCCGGCTCAGCCGCAGCCGCCCATCATTCTGTGGGACAGCTGGGCATGAGGGGACTCGGCCCCATGGAGGAACCACGGCTCCGTTGAGTGCTCCAGCCACCCACACCACCAACCCCCCTCCAACCAGCCACAGCTTCATCCTCCTCACCGCACAGCATTCGCTCCCCCCATGCACACCCCAACGCTGGAAGTGCCCCTGGGGCCATCCCCATGTCCCCTCGCTTACCATGGACCCCTTCACCTCCTGGTAGATCTCGTTGAACTCCAGCGTGTCGGCCATGGCGGCTGCGGGGTGTGGGAGGGGACGGGGACGATCTCAGGGGGGTTCAGCAGCCTCCCCAGCCCGGCATGCCCGGGGCAGCGGCACAGGAGTCACGCACGGCAGCTGTGGGAGGACATCGGGTGAGCCGGGCTGGCGACGGGCTCCTGGCGCTCCCCAGCGCCCCCAAAACCAAACCTCGCCCCTCAGGCTGCCCCCGCCCCCCGGACGCTGCCTCTGACTCACTGACGGGGACGACCCCCGGCCACCTCGCCCCTTCCCCAGCTGTGCCGTGGCCCCAGGGCCGCCCCTTCCTGCAGCCCTCGGCCCCCGCTGTGTCATCGCACCTCTCGACTCCCCCCACCCCTGCCCTTCCCCTCCCTGATGCGGCCTCTCCGCACCCCAAACCACCCACCGCACCCCCAAACTCCTTCCGAGCCCGAGCTCCCAAGCGCCCCCCGGGCCTCCCCCCAACCCGGGGCCTGCCCACCCGCCCCGAGCCCACTTCCATCTCAGGCCCGTTCCCCCATCCCAGCCCGGCCTGCCCTGACTGCAGGCTCTCCCCGGGAGACCCAGACACTCCCCCCTCCCCCCCTTCCCCGGTAAGCCCGCCGACCCCCCCGCACCGCTGCCGCCGCTGCCGCTTTTCCCGCCTGCGCAGCGCGAACCGCGCGGAGCCGCCGCCGCCGGAAGTCGCTCGGACTTCCGCCATGGCGCCGGTCCGCGCTGGCCCCCCCTGGTGGTTGGGCGGGCCCCGTGCAGCGCTCTCCGCCGCACCGGGGGAGGGCCGGCAGCACGCCGGAGGCCCCGCCCACCAAGTGGCCGGGCGGGGTCAGAGAAGCCGGGACTCCGCCCCCCACCCGCCGCTCTGCCCCGCCCAGAACCATAGAGAGAAGGGGGAGAGACCCCATTGGCCAGCACGGGGCGAGCCCCGTGACGTCACCTCGTGTGGGGGCACCCCCCTCCCCCCCCACCCCACCAAAGCCGGGGCGCCCCAAAGTGTTGGAACCGGACAATGGGACGGCCCAGAGCGGGGCACCCCCGAAACCGCACGCACGGGGCTCCCCCACCGTGCTCCGCGGCAGAGGTGTCCCCCCAAACCAGGCATCCCCAGTCTGGGGCGCACCCCCCACGTGCATCCCAATGTGGGACTCCCCGGTGCTCGAATGGGTCCCCCCTTTGGGGCTCGCCCCCATAGGGACCCCGGGGAAGGACCCTGCCTGCACCCCTCCATCCCCCCAGGAATGGGGGGCGATCCCTCCGTCCCCCCGGGCCATGCCCCCGCCCCCGGCCCCCGCCCTGCCCCCGCCTCCGCCCGCCCGCCCGCACCGCCCCCGCTGCCCGCACCCCTGCGGGTGCTGCCCACACCCTCCGGTACCCGCACGCTGCCCGTGCCCCTGCCGGTACCCCTGCCTGCACCCGCTCCCGCCCTGCCCTGCCCTGCCCTGCCCTGCCCGCATCCCCGCTCACTGTCCGCACCCCTGCCCTGCCCTGCACTGCCCGCATCCCCCTCGGTTCCCGCAGCCCTGCCCGCAGCCCCGCCTTGCCCTGCCCGCAGCCCCGTCTCCGGCCGCCCCCGCGCTGCCCATGTCCCTCCCGCGCTCCCGCACCCGCTGGGTGAGCGACTTCTTCTCCTACGAGACCACCAAGTCGGTGGTGGTGAAGAGCTGGGTGGTGGGCGTCGTCAACCGCGGCGTCCAGCTCCTCATCCTCGCCTACTTCGTCGGGTGAGCCTCCCCGGCAGCCGCCGGGACAATCCCCGGGCACCTCCGGGACAGCCCGCGCCGGGACATCCCCCGGGGCACAGCCCCGAACCCTTCCCGGCACCGCGACAGCGCGGTGACAGCCACTTCTTGCTGCAGGTGACACCCGGGGGTGACGGCGTGTGGCATGGGGTCACAGAGAGGGGACACCAGGCGGTGGTGCGGGGTCGGGGGGTGGCCAGGCCGGGAGCAGAGGAGGGACGGGAGAGCGGGTGACAATGTGTCAGTGCCGGGAGTTCAGGTGTGCCGGCGCAGGTGACACGATGGGGACAGCCAGGAGAGTGTGCCGGTTGACAAGGCGGGACAGAGGATGTCGGTACGGGTGACACAAGGGGGACAGCCAGAGAGCGTGCCGGTGCGGGTGACAGGAGGGTGGCAGCGCAGGTGACATGATGAGGACAGCAAGATGTCGTTTCGGGCGACACAAAGGGGACAGCCAGGAGAGCATCTCGGGTGGATGACGGGAAGGGACAGCGTGGGTGACAGCGAGGGGCAGAGAAGCCGCTCGGCCCCGGACGACAGAAGGGGATGAGCCGCGCTCGGGTCCCTGTCCCCGAGTGCTCCCGGGGATGACAGCAGCCACCGGCGGGGGGATGACAAGCGGCAGTCGGGGATCGGCAGCCGCTGGCGCTGGCAGTTCTGGGGTCCGGGGATCACGGGCAGGTCCGGGGGAGGGTGCCGGGAAGGTCCGGTGGTGTCCGGGGGTGGCTGTCCCCAGCGTCACCCGCGGTGCTGTCCCAGCTGGGTGTTCCTCCATGAGAAAGCGTACCAGGTGCGGGACACCGCCATCGAGTCCTCCGTGGTCACCAAGGTGAAGGGCGTGGGGCGCTACGCGGGGCAGGTGATGGACACGGCCGACTACGTCACGCCCCCCCAGGTGAGCACCGGGGACCGGAGGGGTCGCTGAGGGTCGCGGGGCCACCCCCGCCTCAGTTCCGGACGGGTCGTGTGACAGCGACGTCCCGCAGGGCACCTCAGTGTTCGTGGTGGTCACCAAGCAGATCCGGACCGAGGACCAGGCGCAGGGCGTGTGCCCGGAGGTGCGGGGGGGCAGGGGGCGCTCGGGGGGACCCCTCGATGAGCCCCCCGTCCGCTGACCCCCGCCCCGCAGAGCGAAGCCGCGTTCCACTGCTCGGCGGACCGGGACTGCCGGGAGCTGAGCCCGGGCACGAGCAACGGTGAGGGACCCGCTGGGAACGGGGGCTCAGGGGACCGCGGGGAGCCACCACGGGAGGGAGTGAGGGACCCTCGGTGGGCTCGGGGGAGTGGGGGGCCCGGGGCTCTGGTGCGAGAGCTGGAGGTCTGGGGCAGCCGGGGGTCAGGGTCCCAGGGGTGCCAAAGGGGGCCCGGGGATCCCCGGGGTGCTGACAGGGATCTGGGGTCTCAGGGGCGCTCCCGAGGGTACTGACAAGGGTCCGGGAATCCCCGGGGTGCTGACAGAGATCTGGGGTCTCAGGGGTACTCCCAGGGGTACTGGCAGTGGTCCGAGGGTGCCAGGGGTGCTGACGGGGATCTGGGGTCTCAGGGATGCTCCCGAGGGTACTGATAGGGGTATGGGGATCCCAGGGGTGCTGATGGGGGTCTCGGGTCTCAGGGGTGCTCTCAGGGGTACTGGCAGTGGTCTGGGGGTCCCAGGGGTGCTGGCAGAGTTCAGGGGCCGAGGTGCCAGGTCTGCTGACAGGGTTGGGGGTCCCAGGGCTGCTGACAGGGCGCTGCGTCCCCTACAACGCGACCCTGCGCACCTGCGAGATCCAGGGCTGGTGCCCACCCGAGGTGGACACTGTTGACGTGTAAGTGGGGCCGGGGGGACACAGGGAGGAGCAGGGGACATGCCCCCTGCCATGTCCTCAGTGTCACCCCCCTTCCTCCAGCCCCGTCATGCTGGAAGCTGAGAACTTCACCCTCCTCATCAAGAACAGCATCCGCTTCCCGCTCTTTGGCTTTGAGAAGTGAGTGGCACAAGCCACGGGGGGACACGAGGGGACATGAGGACAGGGCATGGGGTAACACAGGGACATGGGGACAGGGGACATAGGCACAGGATGGTGGGGGGATACTGTGATGGGGGTCCATGAACCCCAGACTGCTGCCTGATGGCACATCCCTCTGTGTCCCCCGTGTCCCCCTGTGTCCCCAGGACCAACCTGCCACCCCCTGGCAGTGGGGTGGAGCTGGGCCGGTGTCGCTTCCACCCACAGCTGCAGCCTCTGTGCCCCATCCTGCGCCTGGGGGACGTGGCACGTCTGGCTGGGCAGGACTTCCCTGCGCTGGCTGCCACCGTGAGCGGGGACACAGGGGACACGGGAGGCACGGGGGGACAATGGCGTGGGTGTGGGGACACAGGGGTACAAGTGCGTGGGATGGAAGGACATAGGGACATGGGACTTGGGGGCACAGAAATATGGGATGTGGGACATGGGGACATGGAACATGGGATGGGGGGATATGGGGTGGTGGGACATGGAAGATGGGGACATGGGCTTGCATAACATGGGGACACGGGATGCAGGGATGAGGGATGTTGGGAACAGGACATGGGGATACAGGAACACGAGACAGAGTGATGATGTGGGGCTTGACACAGGGGCATGGATGGGGTTTGGGATGTGTGACATGGGGACCATGGGGTGTACAGACATGGAGATTCGAGACATGGGGGGCAGGGGGATGTGGAGCTTGGGGAGATGTGAATGTGGGATGTGGGTTCATAGGATGTGGAGCACAGGGCCATGGGATGCAGGACTGTGAAACTGTGGGGACTTGGCGCCACGGGGCCAGGGTCCGTGGTGCTGATGCAGGGCTGGGGCAGGGGGGGGTGCTGGGGATCAAGATCGGGTGGGTGTGTGACCTGGACCGGGCCTGGGAGCGCTGCCTGCCCCGCTACTCCTTCACCCGCCTGGACAGCCTGGCCCGGACCCCTGCCCCTGGATACAACTTCAGGTATGGCCAGGACACGCACGGCACAGGGGTGTGCACTGCATGGCATGGCTCCTGTCCCCATGTCCCCGTGTCACTGTGTCACCACAGGCACGCCAGGTACTACCGCTGGCCTGACGGCTCCGAGCGCCGCACCCTCATCAAGGCCTTTGGGATCCGCTTCGATGTCCTGGTGTATGGCAGCGTACGTGTGGGGCTGGGGACTCATGGGGACACAGGGGGATTGGGGACTCCGGCCAACAAGGGCTGTGCTCCCCCAGGCCGGGAAGTTCGGCATCGTCCCCACCCTCATCAACACGGTGGCTGCTTTCACCTCCATCGGCGTGGTGAGTTGGGGATGTCCTCAGCCCCGGAGTGGTGACACCTCCCAGGGCACAAGGGGGAAATGCCATGGCCACGGGGCATGGGGACACAGCACAGATGCAGGGTGACAGCGGCCTGACTCTGTGGGGAGGGGTACGGGGGTGCTCCACAGCGCGGGGCCCCCCACCCCAATGCTACCACCCCCAGGGCACGGTGCTGTGCGACATCATCCTGCTCAACTTCCTCAAGGGCGCTGAGCACTACAAGGCCCGCAAGTTCGAGGAGGTCAGACATGGGGCCGGGGTACCCTGGGGATGGGGACACCTCTGGGGGGCTCGATCGGCCCCCCCTGGCTGCAGTGACTCACCCAGTGCCTCTGTCCCCTGTCCCACAGGTGTCAGAGGCCGGCGTGCCCGCCACCCCCTCAGCGTGTCCCCCCGGGGCGCTGGGGACCTGCTCCCGGGACAAGCAATCCACCGACTCGGGCACCTTCTCCCTCGGCCTCTAGCCCCGGGGGCCATGGGGCAGCCCCGCCTGCCCACCACGCTGTGGGGCAGCCCACGGCCTGGGGAGGGGCTCGCTGAGACCCCCATCGGGCTCCTATTGCCCACCCAGTCCCCAGTGCTCCCCCTGTGAGCCCCATCAGCATCTGACTGTCCCCAGTGCCCACCCCGGATATATCCCAGTGTCCCCAGTGTCCATACGAGGTGCCCCAGCCCTGTCCCTTGTCCCCAGGGTGCCCCTCCCGCCGCACCTCCCTGTCCTTGCCACCCCATGCCCCCCAATAAACCCGTGGCTCGCAGCACCCACCCGTGTCCAGCCTTCGGGGGGCGCGGGATGGTTTTTGGGGGACCGACGGGCAGGGTTGGGGTGCGGGAGCAGAGGGAAGAGGGGTGAGGGTGCTGTCCCTGGGACGGGGCACACCGCGGGGGCAGCTGCCAACAGGAGGAGCGCCGTGCCCGCAGCGCAGCCCGTGGAAGGGAAGGGGGCTCAGAGGGACAGGAGCTGTGCCCTAGCGCTGTCACTTCCTCGGTCGGATGTGAGTAACTCTTGGATTCGGAGGAAGCTCCAGGATGGTTCCTCGTGCAGGGCCAAGCGCTGCCCTTCCTGCTCGGGATGGGGTGACGGGGGTGAGTTCTGGCTCCTCATCCCGCCCCGTGGGGGCTCCCACCCCAATCCCCCGGCAGAGCCAGTGGGGAGGGACGCCGTGAGCCTGGCTTGCTCCCCGTGGAGCCGCTGGTGCCAAGTCCTGGGGTTCATTCCTGGGAATGCCAAACGAGCGTCCCGAACCCCTCGCTGGTGCCCAGGGCGGCCCCCGCCCTGCAGGGAGAGCGGCTCCTGCCCTCCCCCCGCTGCAGATAGTAGCGGGGCTCCTTATCAGCCCCATGGATTCCTTATCAGCCCAGCCCTGGCCACCCACCCACCACCCGTGGCCACCACAAACCCAGCCTGGGGGGCTCCGTCCCCGGCGCCGAGACCAAGGGACCCCCTGGGTGGCACCGAGGGCGAGGCACCCCAGCTTCCAGGACAGCTTCCAGGGGGTGACCGGGACACTTAACCCGCAGCTTTTGGAAAGGAAAGAGACTGGAAACGGATTGGTGTGCGGCGGCTGGAAATGGATACTTGTGCCGTGCTCCATCCAATTAGAACACAGATAGCTGGGAGTGTTATTAATAGTAATTAATAGAACTGCTCATTAGCGGTCCTGCTCATTAACGGGGCTCCGGCCAGGGCGGGAGCGGCCCGGGGAGCCTCGCTGCGATCCCGGGGGGCTCATTAGCAGTGCCGGTGCTTCCCCGTTGATGTTGCTAATTAGCGGAAAGGCTCGAGCCGTGTCTGCGCTGGGAACTGCGGGGTTCCGGCCCTTCTTCATTCCAGCTTGGGATTTGAACCGGAACTGGGCACCCTCGCGGTTCTGCCACCACTTTCAGCAGTTTCTGCCTTTCATACCTCTCTCCCCGCATGCCGGCTGTCCCGGCACTGAGATACGGGATCGCTCCTTATCTCCAGCCTGGTTTTCTCTCCCGGCTGATGCTGCAGCTCTGGGTGTCTGGTTTAGTGCCCCCACCCCCGGGGTCCCCTAACTTGCACCCCCATTTACCGACCCCTTTCCCCCCCTACACCACTCTGCCTCATTTTGGAGGCTCCTGTGAGCTCTCCCCCCTTATTTCAGCCACTGAATTCCCCCCACAACCCCTCCTTCACACCTCTTTGCTGGTAGAAGGGCCCCACTGAGCCGGTGGGGGGTCCCGGGAGCTCTGTGCCCCCCCACCAACCTCCATCCCTGCACTGGGGTGTTAAACCTGCCCCTTCCCACAGCCCCTCCCGTGCTTAATCCCCCCTTATAGCCCCATCCCAGGCCTCGGCTCAGCCCCCCCCGTGTGTCCCGGGGGATTTGGGGCTCTTCAGGCATCACTCTGCTAAGTGCCGCTCGTCTTCTTCGGTTCTTTTCCCCAGTGCTGGAACTATGAGAGTTCAGTCCCAGTGGGACAATCCCAGACCACCTCGGGGGGCTTCCCTCCTCCCCCCAATGCTTATTTGTGGGGTGGGGGGGAGTTTGTTCCCTCTTGGCTCAGCGTTGCCGCTCCACGAGCAAGCGGAGCTGGGGACACACCGAGAACTCCGGTGGCAGCCGGTCCTGCGGCAGCTGCTGCCCTAAAATGGTCATTTTACAGCGTGGGGGGTCCCAGAACCCCCTCCCCGCCCAGGATTTTTGGTAAATGCATAAATCTCCTCGGCACGTTGTGCTCAAAGTGGAGCCCCGGCTGTGGGGGACCCCCCGGAGCCACCGCTGTGCACACAGTGAGGCAAACCTGGCAGCAAAACGGGGAATTCCAAGTGCCAAATGCAAAATGCCAAATGCAAAATGCCAAATGCAAAATGCCAAATGCACACCCCCCCCCCCCCGCAGTGCCACTCCCTCCAATGTGACACCAACCCCCAGAGCGACCCCCCCGCCGCCCCGATGTGACACCGCCCGTGCGAAATGCAGCCCCGATGTGTGACACCCCCGGCGCTGAATGCGGCACCCCGAGGTGAAACCCCAAATGCTGGCCCGAGCCCCCCGTTCCTGAGCTCCCCAGAGCCGGACCCCAGCCCCGAACGCCGCCGTGGTGGGCGACCAAACCCCGCGGGCGTGGCGAGGCCGGGGTTATCTCGGGGGTCGGCGCGTTGACACGCGGGTGAGAGCTCGGTAAAACCCCCCGGGCAGGAGCCAGATGGAGGTGGGGGGAGCTGTGAAGTTTCCCACGGGGGCTCCCCCCGGCCCTGCCTCCTGCCCTGTCCTGCCCGTCCCCTCCAGGAGGAGGGCGGGGAGGAGGAGGAAGGGGAGGTAACGCGGTGGGATTCGCTCCGGGGCCGCAGGAGCGGGTGAGCCCGGGATGAGCTGAGCGGAGCGGAGCCCAGCGCCGGGATGGAGGAGACGACGGACGCCTACAACTACGGCTTCGACAACGATACGGACTGCGAGTACGCGGAGTGGGGCCCCTCGCTGGCCCTGCTGCCCACCATCTACCTGCTGGTCTTCCTGCTGGGCACCACCGGCAACGGGCTCGTCCTCTGGACCGTCTTCAAGGGCGGCCGCGACCGCCGGCGCTCGGCCGACACCTTCATCGCCAACCTGGCCGTGGCCGACCTCACCTTCGTGGTCACCCTGCCCCTGTGGGCCGCCTACGCCTGGCTGGGCTACCACTGGCCCTTCGGCACGGCCGCCTGCAAGGTCAGCAGCTACCTGGTGTTCGTCAACATGTACGCCAGCGTCTTCTGCCTCACCGGCCTCAGCTTCGACCGCTACCTGGCCATCGTGCGGCCGCTGGCCACGGCCAAGCTGCGCTCGCGGGTCAGCGGGCTGGTGGCCACGGTGGCTCTGTGGCTGCTGGCCGCCCTGCTGGCCCTGCCCGCCCTGGTGCTGCGGCGGGCGGCCGCCCTCGGCGGGGACACCAAGATCACCTGCTACATGGACTACGGGGACCTGGCGGCGCAGGGGACGGAGGGCGCCTGGGAGGTGGGGCTGGGGCTCTCCTCCACCGCCCTGGGCTTCGTGGCCCCGTTCGCCGTGATGCTGACCTGCTACTTCTTCATCGCCCGCACCGTGGCCACTCACTTCCGCCGGGAGCGGGCCGAGGGGCCCCGCAAGCGCAAGCGGCTGCTCACCATCATCACGGTGCTGGTGGCCGCCTTCGGGGGCTGCTGGCTGCCCTTCCACCTGGTCAAGACCCTCTACGTGCTGATGGACCTGGAGGTGCTGCCCTGGTCCTGCGCCCTCCACACCTTCCTCAACAACCTCCATCCCTACTGCACGGGCATCGCCTACATCAACAGCTGCCTCAACCCCTTCCTCTACGCCTTCTTCGACCCCCGCTTCCGCCACGCCTGCGCCGCCCTCCTCTGCTGCCGGACCCCCGGCCCCGGCCCCGAGCGCTCCGCCAGCTACTCCTCGGGGCACAGCCACCCCCCCGGCGGCAAGGGGGGCCCCGGCCCGGGGGGCAAGCTGGACCCCGCCACCCAGGAGACGCTCTTCCGCTCCTGAGCCCCTCCCCGACCGCCCCCGGCGCCCCCCGAGCTGGTCTACTCGGGGGGAACACCCCCCTCCGCCTCGCCCCAAAGCCTGGCTTGCTTTGGGGATGCCCCGCTGGAAAGCCCTGCTCTCGGAAAGGGGAAACTGAGGCACAGCCGGGGAGGAGCCCCTGGGGGGCTCAGGAGGGGGCGGCTCCCCCGGCACCCCCAAGGCTTTGTGTTTTGTGACAAATAAATGAATTTTGGTTAAAAAAGGAGCAGGGTGTGCGCAGTTCCCTCGGGGGGCTGGGGGGGATGTGGTGGAAGGGAGGATGGAGGGGTGGGGGTGTGGAGGATGGAGGGTGTCCATGAGCGAGGGCTCAGTGCGTGTGGGGGTGTGTGTGCACTACGGGCCGTCTCTGCCTGGGACGGATTCTCCCGGTCTCTTCCTCAGCAACACTTTGGGAAATGCAGGAAAACCTCCATCCCAACCCTTCGGGGCATTGCAGCACCGGCGTGGGGGTGTTTGACCCCGTGGGGTGGGCACCTGCCTGCCCCAGCCCCCCAGCCGTGATTGTATCAGGCGGCAGCACTGAAATCCCAAATCCCATTTTGGGGCTTTTTTTCCTTATCTGAGGCTGGGACGAGCCCCGGGTGACTCAACCGGGTGTGCAAACGGGACCTGGTGCTGTGAAACACCCAAACCTGAGGGATGGGGACATGGGACCCCCCGGGTGCAGATGGGGACGCTCAGGGTATGAGGAGGGACACAGGACCCTCTGGGCATTGATGGGAGGTTTGGGCCCCGGGCAGGACCCCGGCTCACCCCAAGCAGGATTTGGATGAGCCAGCAAATGGCTCCTGTCCCATTTCCCCCCTCCCAGCCCCCGCTGTTTCCTGAGGCTCTGCTCGAAATAAATCTTCCCCCTATTTGCTATTTACATCCTTCATTTATCGGTGATGAACTATGCTATCTCCTCAGCCTTTGTTCTCTCTTGGAAAGGATGCTGGGTTCCTTGGGATGCTTCCCGTCAGGGGAGCTGCCTCCGCCTTCCTGCCGGCCCCCACCGTGTTTGGGAGCCACCGCCCGGGGTCTCCCCGTGTGGGGACAGTCCTTTGTCCAGAGAGGGGGAACAGAGGGGGTGGCCACGGGGATGGGGACTGAACAACCCCCCAGCTGGAGGGATGGGAGCCTCCTTGAGGATTTTGGGGAGTTTCCAGATGGATCTGGTTTGGTCTAAGGGCTGAGGGAGCTTGAGGAGTGGGAATGTTGCATCCAGGGACACGTCCAAAAGTGTGTTTACATTCCAGTGCCATCCAGGCTCCCTCAGCCTGGAGAGACCCCTGGATATCTCTCATCCATCTGTCAATCCAGCTGTACATCCATCAGTCCAACAGTCCCCTCCTCCCTCCATCCATCCATCCATCCATCCATCCATCCATCCATCCATCCATCCATCCATCCATCACTCCATCCATCCGTGGGCTAATGGTTTTGGGGTTACAGGGGCATTGCTGGGTTGATGGTTGGACTTGATCATAAAGGTCTTCCAACCTTTGTGATTCTACGATTTTTCCCTTGTCTCCCTCCCTTTGCCCATCCCTCCATCCCACCCTCCTCCTTTCCCTCCATGCCTCCATCACCCCCAAACACCCCAGTCCTGTGGGGGTGTCAGCTTTGCTGCCTCCCCCCGTCCGGCTCAGCCGCCGGGCGCGGAAATGGCCGCAGGCGCCCGGCCAGCGGAGACGGAGCTGCCGACTTTCTATCCGCGTCTTGGAGATTTCCCTTTCCCTTCCAGGAGGGAAATGTTTGGTTGAGGAGTCTCTGGGGAGAAATGCAGGGACACTACAGAAAATAACAAGGCCGGAGCTGGGGGTGAGGGGCAGCAGGGCCGGACCACCCGTCGGAAGAAGATAAGGAAGGTGTTGCCTTCCTGAGAGTGCCTGGGGAAGATGAGGAGGGAAGATAGAGGGGGACAGCAGGCACGGGGGGATGGGGAGCATCCTTGGAAAGGATGGCTGGGGAGTGGGGGGTGGCTGTGATCCTCAGGGAGCCCTCAAACCCCACAATGCCATGCCTCGGGGACGCTGCAGGGCCGGGGGGCATGGCCAGGTTTCCCCAAACCGTGGTTGTGGGAATGTGACGCTGGGAAAACAGAATATTCTGCACACGGAGTAAAAGTGGACTCCGGGGAGGATGGATGCACCAGGGATAGGAAGTGGGGTAAGGATGGGGACAGGTCCCCTCCCAACACCACAGCTCTCCCCCCACTGCGCTTTTCCAAGCTGCCAAACGGGATGTTCATCCCCCCGACCTCCCCCCACCTCGCATCCCGCCCGGGGGTGCCGAAATAATCTGGTGGTGCTAAGGATGTCCCCGGGCGTCCCCTTTGAAGTGACCTCCGTGTTTACAGCCCGGCTCGGGCTCCTTCACACCTCCCGCCCCAAAGCAAACGGAGGGGGGGGACCGCGTGGGTGGGGGGGCTGCAGCTCCCGTTTGTGCCGGGAAAACTCGGATTTGCCAAAGCCGCGGGAAAGCTTTGGCACCATACCCAGGGCTCAGAAACTTTTGTCACTGTGGGGTGGGAGCGGTGGCTGCCGGGGGTGGCATTTCGGGAGGGTCCCTGCCTCGGTGTGTCCCCACCGGTCCAACCCCCCCTCCCCCCGCAATATGAGGAGACCCCCGAAGGTCTGGTGGGCCCCGTGTGACCCTGCAGGATTGAGGAGGGGACAGAGAGGGAGGACAGAGAGAGGAAAAGGAGTGGAAAAGTTGGGGGGCCGGTTTTGGTGGGTGGGGGAGGTTTGGGGTGGGAGGTGGGATTGTATTATGTGGATGGATGGATGGATGGATGGATGGATGGATGGATGGATGGATGGATGGATGGATGGATGGGAGGAAGGGAACGATGGGCGCATGGAAAGAGGGATGGCAGGGCAATGCCCAGGGTTTGGGGGCGCCCCGGGCTGGGCGCTGGCAGCCACTGACGGCCGCTGCCCCCACCGCTCCCGCGGGGCCGGACGCGGCACAGCTGCTGCCCGACCTCTGGGCTCCGGCCAGGCGGGACGGGGGCCGCGTCCCCCCGCCCGCCTGCCCGCCCGCCCCGAGGGGGTCCCGGGGAGGGGGGGACGCGGAGGTGACCCGGCGGCCACAGCTGGGCCCCGCCGGGGCCGGGAGATGCTGCCGGAGCAATAACAGGAAGCGCTGGAGGGAAGAGCGCGGCTGATGCCTTCTGCAGGCTGCGGGACGCTGCCTGTGCCCGCTGCACGCAGCCGGGTGTCTGCCACACACATGTCCCTGTCACACACACACAGTGTCCCCTCACACGCACGTCCCTGTCACACACGCGTGTCCCCCCGCCACACGCGTGTCCCGGCCCCGGCTGCGCTGACACTCTTTATTGTCGAGGTTTGGCGCTGAAAAAGTGCCCCGTGGTACAAAACCCGCGGTTACAAAACGTACAAAGAGCGGGGTCGGGGGAGAAGAGAGAAAAAGGAAAGGAAAAGAAAGGAAAAAGGGAAAGAAAAGGGAAAGAAAAGAAAAGAAAAGAAAAGGAAAGAAAAGAAAAGAAAAAAGAAAAAGAAAGAAAAGAAAAGAAAAGAAAAGAAAAGAAAAGAAAAGAAAAGAAAAGAAAAGAAAAGAAAAGAAAAGAAAAGAAAAGAAAAGAAAAGAAAAAAGAAAAGAAAAGAAAAGAAAAGGTCTAAGATAGAAGACAAGAGGAGGAAAGGAAAGGAAAGGAAAGGAAAGGAAAGGAAAGGAAAGGAAAGGAAAGGAAAGGAAAGGAAAGGAAAGGAAAGGAAAGGGATAGAGAAACAAGAAAATCAAAAGACAAGGAGAAACAAAAGAGAAGGAAAATAGAACATAAATATAAATACAAAAAGAAAAGGATGAGGTGAGGCAGAGGAAGGAGCTGGTGGGATGCAGGTGGATGCTCCATGCCCATGTGGCTGGTCCAGGGGTGCAGGAGTTGTGGGGGGTGCAGGGGGTGTGGAGCAGGGGGGTTCTTGGACTCACTGAAAGGAAAATAATAAAACCCCAGACAAAATAGAGAAGGCAGAGGCCAAGTTCCCTTTCCTGGGGGCAGTGCTGAGGCTGGGGTGCAGCAGGAGCCCTTTTGGGGTGGGCTGGGGTTAAACCAAACCCCCCTCCCCATGCACTCAGCCTCCATGGGGGACAGAGGAAGGGACAAAGCAGCCCTCAGGTGACCCCAGCCCCTCCCCTCACTGATGTGCTCCCACAGTGACAGGGTGACACAGACACCAGGGACAGGTGACACAGGCACTGGGGACATGGCTGTCCCGGCTGGACAGAGGGTCGTTGGCTTTCTGCTTTTTGCTTTTTTTTTTCTTGTTTTGCCCTTTTTTAGAGCTCCTTCCACCTCCCAAACCTCCCCCAGGGTGGGCAACGCTGGTGCCCGGGTCGGCCCCGAAGAGGAGGCAGATGTCATCTCTGGGAGATGCAGTCCCTGGAAGGTGCCATCCTTGGGAGGTCCCATCCCCTGGAGATGTCAGAGCCCATCCCACTGCCAGGCTTGGTGGTCCCGGTGCTGTTCCAGCACATCCTGATGTCACCAGCAAGGTGCAGGCATGCCCTGGAACGGTGGTGATGAGCTGGGTGTCAGCAACGCTTCCTGGCCCCTGGATTTTTGGGGAGGCTGGAGAGTATGTGCAGGATTTGGGGGGGCTCCAGCGGTGCTGTTTTGGGGCAGAAAGCAGGGATTTCCTCGATGCCCCCAGGAGAGTGGCCGTGGTTCCCAAGACACACACACTTTGTCCTCTCTCTCTCCCAGGCAGAGGTGGGGGGGTTCCCAGGGGATTCCCAAATCGCTGCCTCAACCAGTCCTGGGCAGTGGGAACAGCACAGGAGGGGGTCCAAGCTCACGGTGATGGGAGGGTGCAAAAACTCCCCACTTTGGGGCAAAAGGAAGCAGGGCTGTCCCCTGGTGTCCCCGGCGTCTCGAGGGCCACCCAGGCACGGGGGGCGGCAGGAGGGGACGCGGACAAGGCACAGTCTGGTGTCCCCGCGGGGGTGGCCGGGCCAGGGGGTGGCCGGGGCGGGGGTCAATCGGCGGTGGTGGCAGCGGCGGTCCCTAAACGTCCTCGTCCTCACTGGCCTTGCTCCAGCGGTGGCAGCAGTTGGCCGTGATGCCCAGCAGGAAGTTGGTGGCCACCGAGGCGATGGAGACGACGAAGCCGACGAAGGCGATGAAGAGATAGTCGTCGAGGGTCAGAGTCAGGTGGCAGGCCTGGAAGCTCTCCTCCGTCAGCGACAGCAGTGGGGCCCCCGCCACCTCGGGGGGAGCCCAGCACTCCGCCTGCTGTGAATCTGCAGGACCGAAGGATGGAGATGGCGTCAGCCCGGCCGCCGGCCCCCGTGCGGGACGGGGCGCGGGGGTCCCGGCAGCACCTACCCGAGGAGCAGCGCTGGATGCGGCCCCTCAGCCACTTAAGGAGCGGCTCCATGGCGCAGCCGCAGAGCCAGGGGTTGCCCCCCAGGCGCAGCCCCACGAGGCCGGGCAGCCCCTCCAGGGCGTCGAGGCTGAGGGCGGCCAGGCCGCCGTAGCTGAGGTCCAGCTCCCGCAGCTGGGCTAGGCCGCGGAAGGCCTGCGGGTGGACGCGGCGCAGCCCCGGGTTGTGGCTGAGGTCGAGGCGCAGCAGCGCGCTGGCCTCGCGGAACATGTCCGCGGGCACCAGGCTGAAGTTGTTGTAGCTCAGGTCCAGGTGCGCCAGGCGCCGGGCGCCGCGGAACAGCCCGGCCGGCAGCGCCGCCAGCGAGTTGTTGCGCAGGTCGAGGGCGCGCAGCTGCCCGTAGCAGCCCAGGTAGCCCGGCGGGATGCTGGCGATGCGGTTGTGGGCCAGGCTCAGGTTGCCGGTGTCCAGCGGCAGCTCGGGGGGCACGGAGAAGAGCCGCTGCCCGCTGCAGTCCACCGCCTGCCCGCGGCAGCTGCACAGCACCGGGCAGCCCGCGCCCGCCGCCGCCACCGCCGCCGCCGCCGCCAGCAGCCAGGGGCCCAGCAGCATGGCCTCGTGGCCGCGGCCCTCACGGGGCGCCGGGGGCCATCCCGCCCGCCCGCTCACGCCGAGGGCTGCCGGCGGCCGGCCGCGGGGCCGGGCTGGCGGCGGTCACGGCGACGTTCCCGGCATCCCGGCGGCATCCGGGGGGCAACGCCAACCCCTCCGGGGGCACCGGCGGGGCCGGCGTCGGGCCGTCACCAGCCGCCTGCGAGGAAGAGCAGAGGGGGGAAGCCGTGCCGGCCGCACGTCCCGCCGGGGGGGCCGCCGCTGCTGCAGCCCGGCGTGGCCTCTGGGGCACCCACAGCCTCCCCGTGCCCCCCGGGCCAGGGTCACTCCTCCAAGCATCCCCCCGGGATTCCAGGCAGAAGAGGCCCCTCCAGACCTGCTGACCTTGGCCAACCCATCTTGGCTGGTGGTGGGCAGAGCAGAGGTGCTGCTCCACGGCCCCCCGCCACCCCCCGCCAGTCCCCCGCCACCACGAGCTGAGCTCGGTGCCAGGGACATCCTCCCCGCCTATCTCCCGGGGGAAGATCCCCATTCCCAGCACCCACCGGGGTCCCCCCAGGCCTGCCCTCGCCCCCCACCACCTGACCGTGTCTGCTCCATCCTCCCTCGCCCGCACCCCCAGCTCCATCCTCTCCCACCGGCCCACCTTACCCCGGTCACTCCCATCCCCACAGCGCCCCGACCCCTCCGGTGAGGCCGGGCTGCCCCGGGGTACTCACTGGCCAGGGAGGGAGCAGGGCCTGGCTCCCTGCGGTGATGTGGGGGTCCGGAGGGGCGATGTGGAGGGCTCCAGATGGGGATGGTGGGGTCTCCGGTGGCCGGCCACACCCCGGAGGCCGCCAAGTCGGGAGCTGGGCTTCGGCAGCGGCGGCCAAGGCTGCTGCGAGCCCGGCGATGGGAGCAGGTCTTTCCCCACCTCCTTCCTCCCCTCCTCCTCCTCGTCCTCCCTTGTCTCTCTCTTTCTCTGTCTCTTTTTTTTTTTCCTCTTTTTTTCCTTAGGGCCAGATACTGACGTGTCGGTGTCTCTTAGCAACTGCCTCCACATCTCTGAGCAACAGGAGAGCGGGATGCGGAGCCGCCGAGCCGGGGAGACAGCGGCGGGCGGAGGTGCCCCCGCCTCAGGGACCCCCTGCCCAGGCCGGGGGACCCGCACCCGCACGGCCCAGGCACCCGGCAGGGATGGAGCAGGAAGAGGGCTCCATCCTGCTCCCCTGCCCCGATCCCCAGCCCTCCCACTCTCTCCCAGCCCCGGGAAGCATCCTCGTGGGATGGGGTGAATCAGGGGTTCCCAGGCACTGAAAACAGAAACAGATGACGTGGCGGCAGAGGGGAGAAACAAGGCAGCCGGGATCTAAGGGGAGCTCTAGGATCCAAAGGGACTGCTGGAATTCAAGGGGCACTGTCACCCTTCTGTGCTCCTGCTGTGCTCACAGCCCTGGAAAATGCCTCAGGTTGACGTGGATTATTTTGCTTCATGCAAGCTTAAGCATTCCCTTCTCCGTTTGGAGGGACACAGTGGGGTCAGCCACCTGCCCCCTCCCACCTGAGAACAGCCCTTTGGGATCACAGGGATGCCCACGGTTTGCTCCTGGAATGGTGCAACACCATGGCTCCAGCATTTCTAGGAAGGAGGCACTTCCACATCCAGCCCGCCCACATCTAGGGGATCCCTGCTTGATTCTCTCTTGCTGATTTCATGGAGCTGCTCCTTTTTCCAGCTGGCACTGGAACCCGATGCTGTTGCTGGGGGGCCTTTTGCTCCCCACATCCCATGGGATGGATCCTCCCTGGTGCGGAGCTGGCAGACAGACGGCACAGCCGCCTCTCCTGGGGTGGCATTAACCAGCACTGCTCCCAGCTCCCTGCAAGCTCCTGGGAGCTCCTGGAGTGCGAGGCCTGGGCTCCCAGCGGGCTCCAGGAGCCGAGCAGAGCCAGCGGCAGCACAGACACCTCATTAGCGCTCAGCCCGGAGCCTGGCAGCGCATCCCTGCCAGCAGCTGTTGGCGCCGAGGGTTTTTTCCACTCCCCCACTGTTCCGGGCTCCACTGGCACCAAAGAAACTGGGAAATGGTCCTGACTGGGGCTGGGCTGCAGCAGAGCTCGTGTCCTCCTCACCCAAGCCCCTGTGGAGGTGGCCATGGGGACATGGTGCTTGTGGGGCATCGTCCCTGAGGAAGCTGGGGGACAAATGCTGCCCTCGGGGGTGGGAAGGAGCCTGGCCTGTCCTCCCCACCTTACCCATGAACTCCGTGCCTGATCCCATCCAAAAAGCATTCCTGGGACAAAAGGCCCCTTGGGTGAGCACTGGCTCTGGGACCAAGCACTCCCAGCCTCTTTCTGTGGAAGGAGTGGCAGGACAGCACCAGGGATTCTGGCTCCATAAATCTACCTTACAGCCAGAGCCTTTTCTGTTTCAATCCATCCCTGCTCCTGTCAATCCATGTGCACTCAGGCTTGGGAAAGGAAGAAAGAAGGAGTGGGATGGCTGCAGCTCTGCTGCTGAGGGTGGGGGGGTGGGTCAAAGCTGCCACACTGACAAATCCCTGGGGAACCATCCCCTTCCTCACCGTTCCCAAATCAATCCAGCTCCTGCTCAAGACAGGCTGTCCCATTGATCCTGCCACAACAGGATCCAGAGCTGAGCCTGGGCTTCCTTTTCCCATTAGAAAAAAAAGGGTGAGGAGGCATTAGCCACTGCTTAAATTGTCCAGGGAGATTTTTCCAACAGCAGGAAGAAGATTCTGGCTCAGACTAAGATGAGTGCACAGGAATTGTTGAAGAAAAAGGAATTGCAGATAATTAAGACAGTATAGATAAATACATAAATACAGTAAATATATAAAAAACATTATCCCCTCAATGATTTAAAAACTTGATCTTCCTTAAAGCAATTTCCAAGCTTCCTTGTGCAAGGGAATATCCTAAGTGAATAGGAAATGAGGCAGACTAGGAAATGGCTCTGGTTGCAGATCAGCAACTGTGATTTCTGCAAGGCACAAGCAACAGTCACCAAGGTACGGGGAAGGAGACACACCCAGTGAGCGCTGGACTTGAATAAACAACTTTATTTCTGTACAAAAGAAGAATACAAAGTTAAAATTGTCAATACAGGGCAAGTACAACACAGAGCCGAGAAACCACCTTGGTTCAGCTCTGGAAGGAGCAGGAGGGGCCGCAGGAGGGGCCGGGCGGGGAGTGCCACACGGCTGAGCTGGTGCGCTTGAAGTAGCGGGGTTTGCTCTTGTAGAAGATGTCCTCCAGCTTGGGGCTGGGGATGGCCCCGAACAGCGCGTCCAGGTCCACCGGGTGGTAGTACTGGTGCACGATGGCCTGCTGGAGCTGCGCCCCTGCAGGAACAAGGGGAACAGCACACGGCTGCAGGCCCGCGGGACCGGCACTCCTCTGCCCCTCTGAGAGCCACCGGCCGGGCAGGAGCGGTGGGACAGCTCCCACTGCCACCACACCCCGCTTCTCCTCAGGAGCTGGGGCTGTGCCCCTTTTCAGAGGGCTCTGGTTTCACCTGAGCCCATGAGAGCTCACAGGAAGCAGCGCTGATGCCCTCAGCACACAGAGCTGGGAGCTGCCAGAGGCGCACACACTCCTGGACTGCGCTCTGGGATGGCTCCAAGCAAGGCTGGAAAGCTCCAGGGCAGGAGGGAAAGGAAGCCAGCCCAGAGCTGGCACCTACCATCAGCCCAGGCAGGGATGGGCTTCCGAGGGTTGCTCTCATCATCCGTGGAGTCGTCGCTGTTCAGATCCAGCCCGTAGCTGTTCTCATTGGCCGGGGGCGATGCTGGTTCCTGAGCACCCTCCAGGGACCCGAGGCAGGATGTGGAGAGGGATTTCTGAAACCACACAGAGAGCAGTGATGAGCAAGGGGAGCAGCACTTCCATGGCTGCGATGGCCACCAGAGCCCCAAAGTGCTCAAATCCTTAACCAACACAAAGCTGTCACTGGGCTCCGTGCATTGACACCTGCTCTTAACACTCCCTCCCCTCCTGTTTTCTGTGGAAAAAACCTGGGAAAGGCACGCTGTGCATGTCCCAGCACTCAACTCTACATGTAAACCCTTCGGTTTTCCCTCACTGGAGCTCTGACACAGCCAGGACGGAGCCCACAGCAGATTCCCGACAGAGACAGCGCTGCATCCCAGCTCCAAGCAGCCTCTCCTGCCGCTCTGCCCATGGAAAAAGGCTCCGCATCTGCAGCTGGCACAAGCCTGGCTGCCCAGGGCCGCTCCCACCGGGACGTCGCCTCAGGCCCTGCTGCCCTCCCGTGGCCGCTTCCAGCATCTTTTCCACCTCCAGCCACTAGTTTTTCCAGCTGCTCCTCCGTGCCATGGCTGTGCCGCGGGGGCCAAGTAGCCACAGCAGGCAGGGGCCACCCGAGGGTTGTGCCGGGGCCAGGGCTCACCTTGACGGCTTTGTTCAGCCACGTCCCAGGGGCTGCTGGTGGAATGGGTTTTTTCTCCTCTCTCGGCTGCTGCTGACCGTCAGCCTCCTATAAGACACGGGAATGAAGTCATTCCTCACTCACACAGAACAAGCTCTGACACAGAGCTGCGTTCTCGGCAGCAGCTCTGGCAACATCCAGCCCTCAGTGCCTCTGTGGCTTCTTCTGCAGAAATAATCCCAAATCCAAGACTGCCAGATAAAGCCAAACCTGTCTCTGCTCAGGTCCAGCCTGGCTCTTTGGAGCCCACACTCACCCTCTCTGCTTGGAGCCAGATGTTAAGAGCTGGGAAAAATGATTCTGGTGGCTCATATCTTTTCTCCAGCCCAGGTCCAAGAGGCAGCTTTTTGGAACTTTCTTTCCCCTAATAAAGAGGAAAAAAAAAAAAAAAAAAAAACAAACAAAACACCTGCTGCAGTTTCTTTTTGACCCAAACCATTTCTCTGAGAGTTTCCCCTCCTGTGCTGCTCAGCCATTTTCTCCCGCCTGGAAAAGCTTTGCCAGACTCATTCTGGACCTGCTGCTGGCAGCACAGGAAGGATTCAGA